GGAGGAAAACAGTAGAACTAAATAGTCACAATTGTATTTTGCAACTGATTCTGAATTTTGTCTTTATTAAAAACAAATCAATTTTTCATGTTCAGAATTGGGCTTATATAAATAACTACGCCATATATGAAAGGATTCAGGTTCAAGAATGAGGCCTTCCTGACAGAACATTGCTTATCCATTGGTTTAACCCTTTGGAATTCTTGGGGGGGAGGGGGAATAATTGAAAAAGCCATAATAGGTTAAACATTGCCATCTCTGTAGGAGAGACTTCACTTTGAGCATAGAAATATGACTTAAAGGAATACTCCAAGCACTATAACCACTACAACTTGCTGGCATCCTATGGTAAGTAGTCAAACTGTAAGCCATAGTATGACTTGACACCTTTCCTGAATCCCGACAGGCACCCGCTACATTTTCTCCTCTATCCGTTCTTCTCTTACAGAAGACTCCAGATTTTTCCACAGAGCAAAGAGGGGCTATACAAAACCTGTGCAAGTGTCATCAGCTCAAGGTCTGGGCCCCCAGTGCCTGCCCCGAGTCCACCCACCAGGCTGAAGTGTGTATTGTATGTGGTGTAAAATGTGTGCAGTGGATGCAGAGTGTCTGTGTGTCGTGAATGTGGTGTGTGTGTCGTGGATGCAGAGTGTATAGTGGATGTAATGTTTGTGTGTATTAGATGTGTTTATGTAATGGATGTATAACGAATGCAGAGTGCGTGTTTGTGTAGTGGATGTAGTTAGTGTATAGTGAATGCAGAGTGTGTGTTTGTGTAGTAGAAGTAGTAGTTGTGTGTATTAGATGCAGTGTGTATAGTGAATGCAGAATATGTGTTTGTATAGTGACTGCAGATGTTTGTGTAGGAGATGCAGTGTGTATAGTGACTGCAGAGTGTGTTTGTGTAGTGGATGTAGTGTGTATGTGTAGTGACTGCAGAGTGTGTATAGTGACTGCTGAGTGTGTGTTTATGTAGTGGATGTAGTGTGTGCATAGTGACTGCAGATTGTGTGTTAGTGTAGTGGACGTATACAGAATGCAGAGTGTGTGTTTGTGTAGTGGATGTAGTGTGTGTATAGTGACTGCTGAGTGTGTATAGTGACCGCAAAATGTGTTTTTGTGTGTATATTGACCACATACTGTCTATAGTGACTGCAGAGTGTGTATTTTTGTAGTGTATGTAGTGAGTTCATAGTGACTGCAAAGTGTGTTTGTGCAGTGGATATAGTGTGTGCATAGTGAATGCAGAGCGTGTGTTTGTGTAAGGATGTAGTGTGTGTAAAATGGGGGAAAAGCTTTTTGTTTAGTTTTTTACCTTTATCTGTGTATATTTTATTTATATTCCCCTCTACCTGCTTCTTACCTGTCCAGGATGGGGGGGAGATTGCATTTCCTGGTAGTCTGGTGGCATGGTGTAGGGAGCCAGGAACTGTACAGTGCAGGCGGGGCCTAGCACACTCCGTCTTAACTCCGTCTCGCGAGTGTTAAAGGGAAACTCCAGTGCCAGGAAAACAATCAGTTTTTCTCCCTCCCACCTCCCAATCCCCGGTTGCTGAAGGGGTGAAAACCTGTTCAGTCACTTACCAGAGGCAGCGACATGTCCCACGTCGCTGCTTCTTCCTCCGCCGCCGCTCCTCCTCTGCATTACGTCGGCCGATGGGCGAGACTGATCCCGCCGCTGGTTGGGGAGACCTAACATGCGCATTAGAGCTCCCCATAGGAAAGCATTGAAAATGCTTTTCAATGCTTTCCTATGGGGAATTGAGCGACGCTGGAGGTCCTCACACAAATGCACTCACAGAACACAAATGACATGTTTAGACATGCTGGTTATACTGTTATTTTCCATTTTAAAAGCACACTTTAGTACAGGGGTTCCCAACCCAGTCCTCAAGTACCCCCTACCAGTCCAGGATTTAGAGATTACCCTGTTGTGTCTGAAGTGTGTTTTCTTTTTTTCTAAAAACACCTTAGACACAACTGGGTAATCACTAAATCCTGGACTGGTAGGGGGTACTTCAGGACTGGATTGGAACCAGTGCTCTTAAAGTAAACACACTGTGAAAATAAAACCTTTTTCTTTCGTAAAGACTGACTGTGTCAGTCAACGGCAGGGGAGGTGTGGCTAGGTCTGCATAAACAGAAACAAAAGTTATTTAACTCCTAAATGTCAACAAACTGACCAGTGAGACAGCAGGGGCATGATCTGAACACGAAAATGACTTCATTAACCCTTTAAGGACACGACTTCTGGAATAAAAGGGAATCATGACGGAATATTTCCATCATCTGTCCTTAAGGGGTTAAACTTAATTTGTTTGGGAGACCTAGATTATCCCTTTATTGTTACAATAAACAAAAATTTAAAATAAATGTCAGTGAAATGGAAAGGTTTGGCTGAAAATTGTCCCTTCTTTTTTTAATGTGTTATATAGATAAAACATTAATAAGTATGCAAATAAACTAATTAAAAAATATATTCCCAAAAGATTACTATCTTCAAAGATTCTGAAGCTAGACCGCTCTAAGCAGACACTTTACTGACTAAGAGGCAGCTCCACCAATCAGTAGGTTCTCATTTTGTTGCTGTGGTCAAATCTCATCCCAAAAATCATTGTCTTGCAGAGGTTTATGGAACATGTAGTTTATCCAACAGTTGCAGATCCCTCTCATCACATAAGATGACTACAACAGCAAGCTAAATTGATAGCAGTCAGTATATTTAAAGACTGATTCACATTGTACCATCTTGTGCGCAGCTATCTGCCAAGTCTATGAGCATATGCCACTGGACTCTCTGGGGAAAAAGAGAGAGATCCTTACTAGTTTTGCATGTGGAATGTACACACTGCAGAGGCAATTTGGAAGGTATTGTTACAGTAAAGGAGGAAATGAAAATGTTGTCTTTTCTGTGTCACAGCCAGGGGGCTGGCATACAGAGTTATGGGAAAGTCATCAGAAAGAGTGGGTGCAGGGAACTCTCTGCACCATAACCTGTGAAATGCTGCAAAGTTGCAATGGCATTTGGAGTGACCCTTTAACAAAGAACCCATTGTTATTAAACACTCTAAACTGACAGGTCCCCTTCGAGGCAAAATAGGCAATATTCCTTAATTATAGCTGAGGGAAAATGCAAAACAAGGTCAGTGAACAACTGAAAAATGTCACCTATTCTTGGCATCCATCAATCTACACAGTTAACATTATTTGCGTCTTCTTTAAAAATTCAAAGCATGTGAACAATATCATTGTAAAGATCATATATAAATATAATCAGTGTTGTAAGTACCGTCTAATATATATTAGACAGTGCTTGTATTACAAAATAAAAGTATGGTTTTAAACATTCTGCTCTCACAATTCCTTACATGTGCCAGATACTATTAGCCTGCTCCCTGAGTGGTGTCAAGGGTTTGATTTTCAAAACTAAAGTCAATTGTAAATGGTAAACAAGTCCAAATAATTGTATACATTTGTTTGATGTTCTTTTGGAAGGGGGAAGAATGTGGTATGCGGGTGTCTAAAAATACATCCAGGAAATAGAATGATCTGAAAATCTGGTTTAGCAACAACACTTAACTCTTTCTAAATGCACATCAGAGAGACAATGCATTTGACAGCCATAAATAGCCAATCCCTCTTTTCCAACATAAAATCAATGTATTACATTTTTTTATAACCAGGTATATGTAGGCATCTTCCAACAAGTTTGACAGATTTTGAACTACCACTCCCATCAAGCACAAACTGCTTGCTGTTTGAGCATGGCAGTGGTTGAAGTTCACAGCTGCAGTGGTGCTGTTAACAAGCTCAGTACAGCAAGGACAATACCGATACAAGAGCCAGTTGGAGGTTGTGAAGTTGAAGTATTATTGCTTTAAGTGACATTTTTTCCCTCCCACCTCTTTCACCTTCTCCCTTCCTATTTATGACTGTACATGTAAATAAACAGCTCAATTTACCCCATGCCAGACCTTGCAGCAGGTACAGGCGGAAGGAAGCATGTGACTCTGTGCACTTTTTCCTGTTTAAATCCCTTCAGCAGATGGAGCCCTGAATGTGGTTTATAAAGCATGGGCATGCTATAGGCTGTATCCTGATTGGCCCTTTTTCCCCCAGCCATCCCAGAAGCCCCCTTCCCAAACAATGCACACTTCTTTTGTATATGTGTGTGTGGAGCTTGGCTTATGATATTAGGTCTATTTTTGGCTGGGCTCCTCCTCCTGCAGATCTATTTCTGTCAGTTTGAGCTGGGGGCAGTGGTGCACACCCAGAGCAGGCTGCTTAGATCCTCTCTCACACACAGGGCAGGTGATCCAGACACAGTTCTGCAGTAGATCACTTGCACAGGGCACATTCCAGCTCCCCAGGAATCTTTCTTGATACAAAGTTGCTCTTTTTTTTTTTATTGCAGCTAGAATTCTGTCTCCTCAGCTCCTCCTCTCATGAACTCAGTCTGATCTGACTAGTGCTGGATGACCGGGGAAGAATCCCTTGGCTTGCTGCTTTTTTTGCTCTGAATTATCTGTTTGTTTTTAATTGCTGAAAGCTGAGTGCTGGGACCAAGGGGGTGTCTGTGGATTTTGGAGGGGTGCAAGCGGTGTTGAGACTTCTTCTGGATTGTCCATGGAGTCCTCCTCTTGCTGACAGGCTGTTGGCTGCTCCTGCACGGTGCAGGACAAACTCATCTGAGGGTCTCTTAAGATTTTAGGAATCTCAAGTGGTGTTTTGTGTGTGTCCCGATCATGGATCCGTGTCTGCTGTGCGCTGGGCAGTAAAACGAGCTCTGTTTGTAAAGTGGGTGTTAGTATAAAGCTGCAGGACACCCACTGAACCCCAATGTAACAGTGTATCTGGCTGGGGTAAAAGCAAGGGGGTCTCACTCCCAGGACCCTATTACGGATGCTATTACTAGTGGTTGCCCCCCTGAGGACAGATTAGACCCAGGACAGGGGGACCTTGTGCTCACTGCACTGTTATCCCTTTACACGCTCGCCCCCATGCCTGGATTACATCAAATGTTAAACACCATTTACGAGGCTGATTCCGCTTCTTCTACAGATGGCATCAGGCGAGGCGAGCCGGGGCTAAGGTTCGGCCACAAGACCAGTGCCACAGGAGCAGGTAAGGGTCCTACTGTTTTATTCTGTTTTTTTTTGGGGGAGGGGGTTAACGGAGGTGCATGGGAATAGGAATTATACTGCTTTTGTCATCGAAATCTTTAAGAATTAGTCATTAGTGTGGGGATGGTGTAGGTATGGAAATGACAAGAGAAAAATAAGGATTCTATTGTGATATAGGGTATCAGTGCAGTATGCCCTTGTGCCCTATGCTATAATGTGACGGGCACCAGAATCTGAGGGGTTTGGAAGTCTGGTCTTTTGTTGTGACTGCCATCAAAGACTTCTACCCTTTTAGCCTTATCCTCTGACACTTAATGACACCTGATAATAGACACATTGGCTCTGTCCACCACATCTGAGATGCCAGTTAGACATTCAAGGCTTATCAGCCATTAAGGGTGGTGACAGATCTGAATGGAGGCTATCATTCACACACTTCAGACTGTCAGGACAGCAGCTCACATTGAGAGAGTGGACAGTTGACTTTGGGCATGAAGGGGTGCCATACAACCTATAGCCTGCAAGCCCCTGGGTGAAATTAAAGCAGAAACAGGATGGACCTGTGACCTCTAAAGCCTGCTTTTCCTGCCCCACATAGTCTACTGTGCTTTGCATGAGGATGTTAACCCCTATGTGCCAGAGAAATGTTCGCTTTACACTCCTGCACATGTATGAATAGATTTGAAATAATTAAAGGAGGAATAGACAACTGGTTGAACCCCAGGTGTTGATTTAATATGGCAAAGCATCATGGGAGTTGTAGTTTCACAAAATCTGAAAATCTACTATTTGGTAATAAAGGAATTCAAATATATTTGGTAATAACCTTCATGTGACCTATTCAGTCATGTTTCCCTTTCAGTGCAGCATATCTGTTGAAAGCAAAGAGTTTTTTTTAAAGGTGGTATATAATTTACTAAACAGGGAAATGTTTATGCCTAAACCCCATACTTGTTATAAAGTCCATGCACAAACAATATTGCAAGGCCCCAGTTATAGTGTAATCCTTACTGTCTCCCACAGACTTTTTAAAATTCTAAATTTCAAACTGTTAATGTTCCAGTCAGCATTAACCTCTACAGATAGGAAACAACAGGCACAATATTTTTACAAATACTTCAAGTAACTTAAAATACCAAGCACAGGGCACTCTATGTATTTTTGGTTAAGTATTATCTACATTTTTTGTTTCTATCTGTTTAGAAAAAAGGTTTTTAATGTGTATGAGAAATTGAGAATAGTCTAAGTTCTCCTGACAAATTTTGAATTAGAAACCTTTGATATTAATGAGAATCAAGGGTTAGGTATTTTTTTTTTTTTTTAACTTCGCAGGTAACGGTGGCCTAAAAACCAACTTAAAAAATGTAAGCTAACCTACACACATTGGATAACATTCCTATTCATCAGAGGTGGAATTTTCTTTAGAAATACTTTTTTTAGGGAAAATGTTATAATTTAGTTCTCATATTTTAATGCCATGTTATTTAGTGAATAGGGTTCTTTGCTTGTTTGTGGCCTAAAATTATTTGTTAGAAGGGGAGAAAGACACATGCAAGTCTGTTTGCTAACCCAAACCATTTTTTCTGCATAAATGATGCTATTTTAAATGTGTTATTTTCAGAACAAAACCATAAACAATCTAAAAAAAAAGACTGTAGCAAATGTGTTAACCGGACACATCTGTACTACCTAAGAGGTTGAGGAAGTGGTGTGTATGCAGTGCTCCCTTACCTAAATGAGTAGCATATTCTTGCTAATGATTACTCATAACTAGCCAGAAGGCAAGAAATACATTACATCTGGCATTGAATTGGTTAATGTGTGATTGACATGTAACTAACACATCTGTTATTGATCATTCTAATATGCCGATTATTGTTTTTTTAAAGTAGCCCTTCATCATGTTAGCTCAACCTATTTCTGTGAATGGCTTTAACTACATTATGACAAAGGGATAGATACATTCCTTTGTATTATGAATTCCCAGGCAAGTTATTTGTTTCAAAGTGGCTAAATCAATACCATAAAAACATTATATTTCTTTTAAAAATATTTTATTAGCACATGGTGCAAAAAAAGAAAAAAAAAAGATAATCATTTGGGCTTCTTTCAGAGTCATTCCTATGAAAAACTTTGCTTCCAAGAAGTTTGGCTCGGTGTATCTTTAAGACATCCTGCAATAGAGGGCGTGAACAATACATGTTGATACTTTTCAATCTATCAGATTTTAGGCACTTCCTCCTTCGGACAATTATTTTTATTTACAGAACTTCCTGCCCTGGGAGTCTTTTCTAACACATGCTTGCCTGCACAGTCTGAATATGGTATATGAATAGTCCTGCAGCTCTACATTGCAGCACATAGCTATGTAGTAAAAACATTCATAATTGTAACCCTGCAAGTGCCAGGCGGCTGAGCAACGACATTCTTTATGCTCGTCTACCGTAGTCATACTGAACGTAATCATTTACATTTTCACTATTACAAGGGCTTGTGTAATATTAAAAAAAAAAAAACTTAAGAGAAAATTACACAGTTGTGAAGTAAAAAATAGTTTGTAGAATTTACACAATGCATTTCATAGAATAAATATGATTGCATTATACACTAAATATTGATTTGAACAACAAATCAGAACAGATATTTTTGAAAATATTTTTTTACAACTCAGTAGTTTTGGTTTTGCTGTTTGGTTTTCAATCCACCACAATTCAGTGAATAATCCCACAAGAGTGTTTTGTCAGACTTGTCTCGGAGCGAAGTCATCATTAAAATGACTGAGAAATTAAAGGAAAACTGTCACTAAAATCTATATTTTTTTCTTTGTTCATATGTGTTTATTTGAGCCTTTCTGTGTAATTTTACAATTTTTGTGGCGACCTTTTCATATTGACTTCTGGAGCACTGGAATCTTAAGTGATCTGTGGACCTGAATGAAGATCACTATTGTATGCCTGGAATAGTGCGCATTCACAGTACAATGATGTCAGCAGTCATCGCTAAGTGTGCATGCACAATTTATTCATTAGAAACCAACTCAAGCTTCAACGCTGAGATTACTGCAAACGTAGTTTAGAGTTTCCTCTGATAACCGTGAAAAACAGGTACAAAATGTTTATTATTACACAGATATACACATGCATTAAAATAATTAATCAGCATTAAATCAACACAAATAAGATTAGTAAATTCACAGAAGACTTACTGCCATGGTTGGGCCCCAGTGCATCGAGCCATTTTTGTGTATTTTATTACTTTAGGCAGTTAGTCAATGAGCCCAGCAGTGGTTTATGCAGTGAACTGTGAATTGTCAACACAAATGCTGATGTTCGTTACAAACTGTAACTGGACAAAAACCGTCAGCTATTCAATAAATGCAAATCATTGTCAAATGTCTGTTTGTCTCCATGCTTTCATGCCGCATACTGTCCATTTTGGCACGCCAGAAAACAAAATTACAGGTTGTTCTTTTTTTATGTGAATCGCCGTAATTCTAATACTCATCAACATCTTCTTTGCCCTGCATTCCTAAGTAAGACCCACAGTGTTATTCAGGATCACAGTTATTCGATATAGCCCAATTGATCCCTGGCCCAGAAAGCAAGAATTATCCGGAAGCATTCTGGTGCATTCAGAGGCAAAGGAAACCCACAAAAAAAACAGACATTGTTCCCAAAATGATCGGTGTCTGAATTTTGCCATACAGCTTGTAAGTGGACATGAATGTTAACTGAATTTTAGCCTTTCCAGATTCTACTGGATGAACAGCTGAAATCCAGAACGGATAGAATACGCAAACAAGCTCAGTCACATTGGTTTGGGCAAGAGGGACTCAAACTGTGACTCTCCTGATCTTGTCTTACTCATTTTAGACCTCCTGACTGCCCTGAAAATGTGTTGCAGAATGAGGATGGAACCGATTCCTCTGTCTGAATAGGAGATTCTAGACACTATGGTTTCTTGCCTTTTTATTTTCTGTTTCACATGGAAGCCCAGGATTTGCTCATCAATAACCACTTTAGCAATTCTTCTCCATGGCTTTCGTTTGGGGAAATTCCAATATTTGTCTTTTCTTAAAGTTTGATGAATTGCTTTTTTTTTTTTAAATTCATTTTCAATGTAGCTGTCATGTTTACTGTGAAATTCAGTTGAATTGGGAGAAAAACACGAACAGAATTAACTTGCATTTTACCAGCCAATTTTCCAGCTGCATATGCATGTGAATATATCCCATAGTCTGTTCCTTCTATTTACGGAATTAGCTAGCGATATGCTTTGATACACATTTTGCACTTGTTGAAATCGTGATATATTTAAAATTACAAAACAAATTGTCTTTTGTGAATTTGACTCCTTGCATCTCGAACATGACCTACTTTTCTGTGGTTTAAAGCTACTTTAACAAACGTTAGCAATTGCAGGCCTGAACTTTCTAACTTTCTTTCATTGTACTCTTTTTGCAGCCTGTTTTTCTTTGTACTCTTTGTGTTATGATAAAAGACTTGATTTTTGATACCAGCTTCTACCCAGCTGTAGACTCCTATGATAGGCGAGTCTATTATTCTGCATGGTAACCTGCTCAAATTTCTAAATACTGCCTCTGATGAAGAACAAAGGCTGGCTTTTTAAAAAGCACACATAAAGGACTTGTTCACACATGCACCTTGGTTGGTAGTGTATAATTTAAATGAACTAATTAGGAAATAGATGCAGATATAAATAGTTTTTTGATGCTTCTGACAGCTTTTTTCACTTTTACTGCCTATGTATACTTCACACAATGTATTAAATGGTTCTCAGAGAGAAGGCGTCTCCTCAGTAACTTTTTCAGTAACCTTTTACTGAGGATGCATTGGTTGCGACATCTCGCAGGGAATATATTAGGATTGACAATAAAATATTTGCCTGCAAAATTATTAAATTTTTTGTATAATGTATATTTGTTTTTCAAAACATCAACATTTCAATCCGTTCCATATTAATTAACTTTACCAACAGTTCAGTTAGCTGGAAATGTACCTTATAAAGTAGAAGATCCTGTCATGGCCCTGTGCTTTCTGATCATTCCCCCTAAAATGCCTGTGTTGTGGGATGCAGGAAGGTAAAATAATCCACTTTATGGAGGATCAGGAATGTTGAAATCCCACTCAACGTCACTAAACAAACAAACGATCTTTCAGTAAGTAAAAAAAAAAAAAATGAATAAAGAATGAAGTAATTTTATTTACCCAGCCCTAAACATGTTTGAATAGTCAAGTCAATAAGTAATAAAGCAGAAAGTATTAAAATAAACACTGAGCAGGGGAATCACAACATATAATAATCTATTACTCATCCAAACAATGACTTTGCCCCTTGCCTTATCTCTGTAAAAAAGTTATCAACTAGTTCTATTTCTGGAACCTTAATGAATAAAGATTATAGAAGTAAACAATGCTGCAGTGACTTCCTGTTCGATGTTTGGTTACAGTGTACTATTTCCAATAATACAATGCTGTACCAGATCTTTGACCCATGGTACACTCGTCAGTCTTGTATTGTACATGTAATATAGAGCACAGCAGAAGGTATTTGTCCTTTGTCTGTGCGTAATAGTGAAATGATGAGACCATATCAAGTTTTTGTTATTTTTCTTCTTAACGTAGCAACACATACTAAAACCGTCAGACACCATATTTAAATAACTTGTATATGCGCTTGGGGGATAAAACGTTAAGTATAGTCCTGTTCCCAAGAGCATACGCCAGATGGCTTTAGCATACTACAAATTCCAGTGCCTGCCTTTAGTACATAGCATGCTCACTGGAGTCCTGTAGTTCTCATGAGGCTAACAAAAGGTTTTCTACGACACCAAGTAAGGCCAAAGCTGTGAATATGCCCATTTAATCAGGATGGAAATACTTAATTAGTAGAATCTTGATAATGTTTGAAATACCTTTACGACTACATCTTTATTTATTGTTGTTATTCATTGTATTATTTTGCCTGAATATTTATTAAACGTTTACACTGCAATATTATTTAGCAAATTAATTCACTTTTATTTTATCAATGCTTCTTTAAAAAAGAAAACAAAAACCTATTGTGAAATGTACAAAAAAGTTTCACATAGGAAATACTGGTTATTACTGTCTCGAGAACCTAAACCCATTCACATGAGTCTGATCATAAAGATGAAGAACACTGTAGGGCTTATTCTCCTTTTAAAAAGGGTATATTGCAAATTATTGGATATTGTCTAGGCAAGACAAATAGCAAGACACAGTGAACTCTAGATCACTCCTTACACAGGCAATACTGGTGTCTCTCAGAGATGACACTATCTTAGACAGCTTTCAGTTTGGCAGTTGGGAAAGATGTATTCTAACAGATAGGTGATTCAAAGGGAATTTTAAATTAAAGGCACACTATAGTCACCAGAACCACTACAGCTTAAAGTAGTGGTTCTGGTGTCTACTCCCTGTCCCTGCAGGCATTTTTAATGTAAACACTGCCTTTTCAGAGAAAGTGCTCTGTTTACATAGCTCCCACTGACACATCCGATAGAGGTGCTTCCTGTGTTAGTGCTTCACAGTGTGCAGCACTGGCGTTCAGCCTCTCCACCCTCTGCATGGAGATACTGAACCTTCCCCTTAGAAATGCATTGATTCAGTGCATTTCTATGAGGATATGCTGATTGGTGCAACGTTTTGACGTGTATGTGCAATAGCCTCCCAATGTTTTTTTATGGGAAAGCATTGGATTGGCTGAGATTGTCAAATATGATGATCTAAGCCAAGGAGACGGAGCCATCCACAGCCAGACTGGGGCCTTGCTGGAAATAAGGTGAGTAAAATAACTTTTTAACAGAAGGAAAGGGTTACTGGGGACCTAAAATGTGTTTTTACAACTATAATGTCAGAAATGCATTTGTATTCCTGACACTATAGTGTTTTTTTTAAAAGTTTAAATAACCAAACAAAAAAAATATCCTAAATTAGCTATGCTTTCAGTTCGGCTACTCTGGGATTAAATTTGAAATTCTATTTGAATGCATTTGAATGCAATTACCCTGATATTAAAATTCTACAAGTTAACAGTAGAAACAACTAAAAAGATGTTTAGCATGGTTGATGAGATATTGAAAGTGATTGTAAGGCCATTTGAGCAGGGTCCTCAGCAACCTCTTGTTTCTTGTTTTACTTGTTTGTTTCAAAGTTGTTTTCAGATATACGCTCACATTAAAATTGTAAAGTGCTGAAGAATAGGTTGGCTTTATATAAAAGCCAATAATAATAATAGAAATGTAGAATTAATCGCTGGGTTCTAATGTTGATTTCATTATACATAATTCATTTCTTGATGGATTCTTTAAAACAGGGTCAGCCAAAAAAAAAAAAAAAACAGAGGCAGTGAAAAGGTAGGCTCACAGCTGTTGTAGAACTACAGCTCCCATGATGCTTTGCTACCCTTAAGGCTCCTACCATAAAATAAAACCCCACAGTAGGAATTTCCATCCCAGCCGTTGAAGCAGAGGGAATGTTTTGTTTGTTTGTTTCTAGACTGAACATTAAAGGGTTAAATAGAGATTTCTGTGTGTGTGTGTGTGTTAAGTATGGAGAGTTAGAAAATCTTTTTTTGGTTTTGTATAAACAGGTTATTTGAAGCCTGCCGTGTGCTCACCTCTAGATCTTCCCAAGAGATTGTGGGTCATGTCTGCAAAGCAGAGCACACAGCTGTTTAGCAGTTACCTAAATGCTGCGTGTCGGTTTTAGATACCCAACGATGTCAGCACACTTGTACCTCCACCAATAGGCTTTTTACTCTGCATATACGCTGATTATATCTAGCAGGCCAAGTGTAAAAAAAAAAATGAACACAAAACAAAAAAACCCCAGAACAAATTTAGAACTAGTGACTTTCTCACATCCGATACTGGTATACTGGTATATACCGGTAAGAGACAATGTCCTTACCACAACATTAATCATTCATTCTATCAGATAGGGCTTTAAAATGCTTCCCAGCAGTGTGTGGGACTCCTCTATTCTTGGTGTGAAATCACTTTCTTTGTAATCCTGCCTGGTTGTTAATGAAATGATGTCATATTCTGCAGTGCACCTTATGAATTACACATTCGGCAAGGCAGCATTTTCATGCCGTTCCCCACGGAATAAAGAAATGACAATTATCCGAGCAAAACTCTTTTCCAGCTGTGCTATTTTGCCTAACATTTGTTCCCCCCCTTTACACTGAATAAACCTTAACTGATATTTGACGTCAACTCCCAACTACTGCAACATGACTATACCTTGCTGAACATAATGATAGTTGCAGAACAAAAAAAATAAGTTCTTCAGTTTTCCAATGCTATGTTTAAAGTAGGTCCCTCGCCCTCCCTGAACACACATTTATTGCCTCTATTGATTACTAAACTTCACTTCATCTGAACAAAAACTTTGTTCAGGTAGTAAATATTCGGAAAAATCTACAGAGAGTGAAAATGTGCCAATCAGTGTACTGCAAAATATATGTAATAATATAGGTATTATGTATATATTTTGTATTACAACGGTGCATTTCATGCCATTTGGTTCATAGAGCACGTGAGGAAAAAAGAGGATGAGCAGTAATGTATAATTTTATATGTATATATTTAATAAATACTGTATATAATATATAAATATAGATTTATTTCATTTTTTTTATTCTCCTCTTTTTATCCCGTCTACTGGCCACTTCTCAATTGATCTTGTGAATAAAACCAACTTTTAATGGCTGTGCCATAAATCATCTCTTTTTCCATCAATCCTTTTTTATTTGTTTTATTTTTTGCGTCGCGGAGGGAACTTTGAATAATGAGTCAAACAAGCATGCTTGTCTATTGTGCAAGTGGTTTGTTTGGTTATATGTCCATATTGGGCTTTGTAATTATGGAATTCAGATGATCCGTCAATGACCCTAAATTCTGATGAACTGCAATTAAGATAAAAACCAATGTGCAAGTCTATTCATTAATGTATCTACTTGTGATTAGCATTTTTTTTGCTCTGTGCTGGTCTGCCAGTAGATGTTTCTTTGTATCTAATCATAGTGAATCAGGAATTAATTGAAAGGTAAACACTTTTCCATGAACTGGAGTCCACCCAGTAACCATCTACCTGCCATCTGTATCAGGGTGGTACCTAATAATGCATGAAATCAAATGTTGGCTAACAATACCCTGAAGGTGTTATATCCAGTATTATCTAATGAGATCTAGTATTAAAGGTTGGGAAATATAATAGTAAACTCATAGATGAACACACCCTCTAACACTTTCACAATTGTTTATTTGATCATCTGCTTATTTGTTATTGTAGCACAGTACCTAGGCTGCAATTGACATAATGATGTTTTCTGCTTAAAAAAAGGGTCTGTAATTTCTGTCTTGTCAAATGGAACACAGTGGTTTGGATTTAATAGAAAAGTGTCCAAAAATACTATCGGTAGTTTTAGTGATGTCAAACATTATTCATTCCAAGATTTGTGGACAAAAACATGCATAGCAGGGAATCACGGAAAATAAACTGCAATGACTGGATTGCCATAAAGTATGGTGTATTTCAACCAGGAGCATAATTAGGATGTTTTAATGATGTCTGTAACATGCACATTGCTAATTTGTTATAAAATGTAATATTCATACCGGAACATTGTTAAACTATGCTGCCTGCATAGTATTGTCTCGGGTCAATGAGTGTCTTTCAACAGTGAGTTAAAATGCCGTGGATAATGCTGAAACCGAACGTAAATTCATTCTTTTGTTTTGGAATATCATGTTCCATAGATAAAGTTACCGGACCAGCCTCTTAACTCATTGATAGATAATGAGAGGGATCACACACTACACTGCATGAGAAAGGTCTGATCACATTGCAGACAAAGTGTTAAATTATGCTTGTTCTTTAAGGTCTGTTGACCATACCAGTAAGTGAAATGTATAGGCCTTGCACAAATAAGATTAGCAAGGTTCCCAAGCTTAGTTGACCCATGGCACTACAGCTGCTGTTGAACACAAACTCCTTCATACTTACGGTAGCTGGTATACCATAAGACTGTTTTGCCTGCACCTTTCTGCAAATATATTCTGTACCCCAAATTCTTTACTGGACAATTCTAGATGCTGATAGACAAGGCATTAAAGTAGGGCTTGACAATTTTGCTTTGAATATAGGAGCCAGCTTAATAAGTTAGGAGCCAGGTTTTTTTTTTTAACTATCAAAGCTTTGTTTTAATGAGAAAAATTAAATTCTTAAAGGGACACTATAGTCACCAGAACCATTACATGGGGGGTGCCCAAAAGTTAGATCCACAGATGTTGTAGAACTACAAATCCCATGGAGCATCATGTAAACTGTAGTTTTAAACCATCTGGAGATCTACCCTTGGGCGCCCCTGCACTACAGCTTAATGTAGTAGTTTTGCTGTCTATAGAATGCCCGTGTAGGCTTTTCATTGTAAACACTGTAAAAAAGTGTTTACATTGCTGCCTAGTAACACCTCTAGTGACAGTCACTCAGATGGCCACTAGAGGTGATCCCTAGTCCAGTGCTGCCTACATTCAGCATCTTCCATGGGAAAGCATTGGATCAGCAAGATTGATTATCTCAGCCATTAAGGCTGCAGCAAGACTGGAACGATGTGAAATATACCTTTCCTATGCGATTGGAGGGGACACACACACATATTCATTGAAACACAAACACTAACTGACAGACACACACACTCACTCATAGACACACATACATTTTCTCATACAGTCACAAATTATTGTTATGTGTATATATATATATATATATATATATATATATATATATATATATATATAATTTTAAGTCCACAAACCCTCCCTACCTTTGGGCGAGCTGGAGTAGATCCTTTCCCTCTGGTCTAGGGGGGATACTTTCCCTGGGGTCTAGTGTGGCTACTCTGCTCATCTTAAAGCTGGTCTTGCTCTGCTCTCTCACTCAACGTTTAGTGATTCCGGGGCTGGAGTGACATCATATTCTGGTTCTCGTGGGCTTGTCTCAGTTCTCCCTCAGCCGGCTGGCTGCTGCCATACTCAGCCTGCCACCTAAAATCCTAGGTGGCTGGGATTTGTCTTGCCCTGCATCAAATTACCACTCACACTGCTGGAAGGAATTCAATTCAGTCGTCAAGAATGGATCTAAACAGAACTGTCAGTTATCAGAGTAATCTTGCATTATAAGGACAAAGTACAAAGTACCACTTTTTCTTTGCTGTCCACTACCCATGAAGAAGTGTGTCTAGGAAGAGGTGGTGGATCATTACTCATTATAATGGAACTTACACAAGTTACAGCAGAAATACAATGTGGCTGTTGCCAACATGTTTTTAATAACAAAGTCTGTCTGCAAATTTATAATTCCACAAATTCTGCCTCAAGGGTACTACAGAAGCCATGGCTGAGAGCGGTTCTGAACAGCTACATCTAGTATAGTAGTTAGAGACAGGTGTGACTAGCTGTTCTCAGAAATTGCACTTAATTTTCCAGAGAGAGCTTTCTACACTGCTAATTAATTGGTAAGCAAAGCAATTTTGTCTGGCTTGTTGACAATGCACATTCATTATATCAGTGGCTAATGCAGGTATCTGCAACTCTGCACGTTTACTCTCTTGCCCTTTGACCTTCTTTGTCCATAGAAGAGGCCTACTAATACATAACAGTTTTTTTTTTTAAAGAATTGTTTTAATTGTGTAAATGCCAAAGGATGAGCATCATATTACTAAACAAAAAGCTTAAATCTGCTTTGGTGTGGGGCAGAGATGGCTATATTTATATGCACCATGAATTTTTGAAACTGCATGTTCTGTGAGGTTACTAAAGACTTAAAACAGGCTGAGCATCATGGGACATTTAGTTTGTAAACATGAGTAGTGCCATAGTTCGCTATCATTCCCATTGTTTATGTACCATAACTTGTACTAGATGTCTATTTATCATATTTGTTATATAGTCCATGGCCTAGTAGTCTGTAGCTAATCCTAATTATTTAATAATTTATTTTTGTAGAGCAATTCAGAGATCAGTTATTTGCTGAAAGAGAAATGAAATTTAATTTGCTTGGAAAGTGTTTATTATAGTGATATATGATAGTCAATATCATTGATTATTAGTATATCATTTTTTTTAGTGCTTACACAGACTGCTTTCTGAACACATTACTTAAAGGAATATTCACAACTGTATCTAGCCTGGGATTATAGATGGCTTGGAGAATTTTCACAGATTTTAGACTTAATGTTTACATTTGTAATTAAAGGACCACTCTAGGCACCCAGACCACTTCAGCTTAATGAAGTGGTCTGGGTGCCAGGTCCAGCTAGGGTTAACCCATTTTTTAATAAACATAGCAGTTTCAGAGAAACTGCTATGTTTATGAATGGGTTAGGCCTTCCCCCAAAGCCTCTAGCTCTTGCCGCGCGTGCGCATTCAGCCGACGGGGCGGAACGGAGGAGGAGAGAAGGAGGAGAGCTCCCCGCCCAGCGCTGGAAAAAGGTAAGTTTAAACCCCTTTCCCCCTTCCAGAGCCGGGCGGGAGGGGGACCCTGAGGGTGGGGGCACCCTCAGGGCACTATAGTGTCAGGAAAACGAGTATGTTTTCCTGGCACTATAGTGGTCCTTTAATTAGATAACATTCAGTGGTTTTTGAATAGCCCTGTATGACATTTATTGCTGTAGAGGAGCCTCATTATACACTCAGACACAATTTACATTATTCTAAGTCTTATTGTTGTAGAATAACTTTGTGATACACTCATACTTGTTTTATTGCTGTGGAATTCTGGAAAATTGGAAAATTAATTTACAACATGTTAGGCAAATATATAGCTAATCTCCACCATTCTAGACTTGGCTTTTCTGGTCTAAACGCACATCAGGTGACTGTACAGTGAGTAAACTCCAAATATTTAGAATTCTGTTGTGTAAATAGCTACTTATCCTCTTCAGTTGATTTCATGTTCTTTCTTTATTACAATATAAAATGTACATCTGGAAGTAACAAAGAGCCATTGTTCATATGCAATACTATCCTAATAAAATGTTTACCCAGAATAATTGGTGATGTCTACGCATGATTACCTATACCTAATATGATATCAAGAACTACATTAATTTACTTAGGTAATTACACATTATACGGAGAGTTGTAGCACGTTGACAAACATAGGCAAAATATTAGCCGGGTTTGTAATCTGTTATGTCCTAATTTAGCTATATTGGTCTAAATACATGTGTTACATGCCTTCAATATCAGTATTGGGCAACCACAGTCTGCAGTTATTGTTGGATTGCAACTCTGCCACAATCAGCCGGCACCCAGAGGCATGAACTGCCCAACCCTGTCTTAAACAGAGACATCATTGAAGTTGAACTTGATGAACTAGGATAAAACATGTGCATTGGCTTGTTGCTTTTTTGTACGTATGGGAAATGTGTTTGTTGAGTCAGAAAACATATTTTTCCTTATTTCATGTGTATGTCAGGAGTGAGTGGGCTGTTACTATGTTTATTCAAGATGAGGTTATACAGACTTCATATCTCTGATATCAAAAAACAAATGATCGTAAGAATGTTTTTGAATGTTCACATTTGTCAGTGCTGCCAGTTGATCATTCGTACAGAATAAATGAGTATTTGAGGTAGACAGCAGTCCTACGAATCTATATTTAGTTGTATTTCCCCAGTACCCCTCACATCTGGTGTTGATGTACATGACAAAACTTCCCCTTTGTACATTTGGCTCAATGCTGGATTTGTTTTGCTCCTGAATGTCTTTTTTTTCTTTTTTGAGACTTCATTGTTGTTCGTGTCTCTGTAGGACAAGAGACGCCTGCTGATGCCTGATTTCTCTGTAAGATGAGAGGTATATTTATCATCTGTTCCTCAGGGATGTATGTGCTTTTAGGGTTTCTCGGAAATCTATCTGCACACTTTAAAAAACACTTTTAAAAATATATTTCGTAAGCAGGTACTTGTAAATGTACTATTTAATGGAAATGTGTGAAATATCAAAGCGCAGAAATAAAATACGACACGTTAGAATGTTACATTTATTCAAGTAAATGTACAGTTAAAGGAACACTACATGGTCAGGGATATAAATGTGTTTTCCTGACCCTATAGTATTAAAAACACTATTTAGGTTACCCCCCTCTAATATGGCAAAAACTCATCTTTATTCCAGTGCCTTGCGGACCTACCAGCGCTGGCCCGCCCTAGGCCCCACCTCTATGGCCTAAATCGTCAGAATTGATTATATCAGTTAATCCAATGCATTCCTATGGGAAATTATTGGATTGGCTGAGATTGTCAATTTTGATTATCTCAGCCAAGGAGGCGAGATGGGAGCACAGCCAAAGACTGCACTGACCAATCAATAGAGATGCATTGATTAAATGCATCTGAATGAGAAATGTTCAGCATCTCAGAGTGTAGAGACAATGAAAGACATGCAGCACACATCCCAGGAAACACCTCTAATGGCCATCTGAGTGACTGCTTGGTAGGTGTCCCTAGCGAGCAATGTAAGCACTGCCTTTTTTCTGAAAAGGATGTGCTTACAAGAAAAGGTAATGCCTGCATTGAGCTGTAGTTGTTCTAGTGACTATAGTGTCCTTTAATATGATAATGAACTTGACTGAGTACCAGTTATCGGGCATTGTGCTGCATTCTGTTTGTGGATTTTAGGACATACATAGGACCTCAATACACATCTTTGGCCTCATTTAATATTTTTTGATAAGCCTTTCCAAAAGGTGACTTCTGTTGATAAATCAATTGGAAATGTTTTCTAACAGATTTGAATAATTTCAAAAGTGTATCCAACATTTTTATATCACAGCTTCTGTCTGCTAGTTAAACTCTTCTATGTTAGCGGTGACTTGGGCTGGTAAACCAGTTATAGTTAGAGTAGAACTGGATACAGAATTCAGAGCAGAGAAAGGCTTTGATCTCTACCTTGAATTGAGTTAAGTAAACTTGACATGAGTCAGCTGACTCTGACTGAGAGCACCAGTAAAGTGTTTGGCAGGAGTGCTGTTTGACTTGGTCTGGTCATTTCATGTGAAGACCTGGACTAGAGTCATCTAGAGTAGTAATTATTTTCTACTTCTGGAATCCATAATTGTACAACAAAGTATCGATACCACTGAGTAGTAGTGAGATCATTCATGGGCCAATGATGAAAATTACCACTTTAGAAACAAGCTAAGCAATCATCCGTGCGTGAACTGGATCTTACAAAAACAAATATATATATATATATATATATATATATATATATATTTATTTCTTAGACATGTGAAATTGTCCAGAAAGAGTGAGCTAAAATATCTTTTATCCAGGAGCATTGAGACAATATAGTGATTATGACATAGGAAGTTGCTGAACAAGGTATTTTACTGGAAGCAAACAATGCAATACAGATAACAAAACTCTTGAAGACTTGATCATATACACATCAAAGGTTTGAAAAGAATAATATAATAGAAGCTGACATTATCGCAAAGTTTTACTATCTGTTTTTAACTTTGTACACATTTTAGATACATGTGCACTGTAGAATAACTTTGAAACTGGATACATCATCAATATATCTCTCTTAAAGGGTTTACCCATTGATTCAAAGGCCAGTTTGTTACTCCATGAAAATGTTAGCCAGGTGTTGCTAGATTATTTTCATGGCTTGGCAGAGGACCATGGGGTTAAAGTTAAAGATAATCTGGGAATGTATAGTTTGGATATGCTAGCCCTGATGTGTATTTGCCTAGTTATAATGTAGAATAAAACAAAAACAATACTTTCTTTGGAAAAATATTGTATTGGACCTTCTTTGAACAATATTTTAATTCCATTCTTGACACTGCATTCCTACTTTATTTATTATGTATTTATTATTTAACTCTCCATTTATATCATAACAATAATAATAATAATAATTTATATCTGTCTATCATAATGGTGGAAGTCATAAGCAATTGATATAATTATTGGGCGTACGCCAGAGGGTTCTGCAACATCCACTTTTTAGTTTTTTTGATAATGGTCATCAGAATTCTTCAGTATCATTTATCTTTATCATTAATTTGCATCTTGCAAAAAAAAAAATTTAAAAAAAATTGCAACACAATTAATGGTCAAATATCATGCCCACATTTGCTTGAACTGGTCTGTATTAAGTTCAGCATCTTTTTCAAAAGAAAATATGGTTGATCCCATGGTTACACAGGGGTTCAGTTTTTTTCTGGGTTTAATTTTATCATCTTGATCAACAGACGTTACAGCCACTTGGTTTGACCGATGGCTTGACAGATGGACGATAACATGCAAAACAAGAAAGTGGAGCTCGCCCATCTTCTACTAGGCCATTCTAGACATGCTGTGTCATACTTGTATTTAGTTATAAATTTCCATTCATTAAAAACAGAACTGAAAGTGATATCACTATGCTGCAAATCATCTGTTTTTTGTTTTTATTAGGATGCAAACATTCTTGTCATATGTTGTTGATACACAACAACTATTTCCAGACAATTCATTTTTTTGGTGTCTTTGAGCTGTACAACCTTAGGGGGAATTTTTCAATTGACATCTGAAACAAATCTGGAAAGATAATACACGACCCTTTAAAAACAAATGATCTTTTCTCCCAAGCTACAGTTTCAGCTTATTAGCACTTCAGGCCTGTGTGGTATTTAAGTAAATTTCCAAGGAACAGTGAAGTATTAAGCAATTCTATGAACTTTGCATGTCCTGTAAACATTACTTCTTTAACTGCTTTGTTAATTCTTATTTTGTTTTTAAAAGGGACACTGTAGGCACCCAGATCACTTCAGCTCATTGAGGTGGTCTGGGTGCTGTGTCCCTTTTGCACTTAGTGCTGCAATGTTAAACTTCGCAGTTCCAGAGAATGTTTACATTGCAGCTCTAAGTCTGCCCTCTGTGGCTGTCTACCAGACAGCCACTGGGGGTACTTCTGGGATCCTAACAGACTTTTGGTCTGTTATCTGATGCTGGACGTTCTCACGGACCTCCAGCGTCAGATTTTCCCCATAGGTAAGAATTGAATAATGCCTTCCTATGTGGAGGTCTAATGCGCGCGCGGCAGGAGGAGGAGCGTGTGCGGAGCCTGATTCAGCGCCGAGGGACATCAGCGCTGGATTCAGGTAAGTGGCTGAAGGGGTTTTACCCCTTCATCCCCAGGGAGGGGGGCCCCGAGGGAGGGGGGCACTCCAGGAGCCTATAGTTTGTTTTCCAGGCACTATAGAATCTGTGTGAGGATATCCAAATCATGTATTGTTAAAAATATGTTCTTGTTTATATAATAATGTGCTAATAATATTACAAAATAAAAAAGCAGATTTAACTTGAAAGTTTAATAAACTGTGTGTAACAAGGAAAATCAGACCCGACAATGTGTTTTGTGTGTGTGTTTTTATGATGTATTGTGCCAGTTGCCCATGAAGACTATATTTTAATACAAGATAGAATATTCAGATTTATGCTTCAGCCACTGCACTTAATTTTGAAAAGAAGTAAATAATAGAAAATATCGCAGCCATGAACACTCGTTTCATCCTCAAGTTATGTTTTATGATAGTTCATAGTGTGCACTGTTTTAAGGACCTTTGTGCAAGAAGATACTTCTATTGGCAGTGGTCGAATAAGTGATCTTCAGATATATATATAGGAATTTCAAAAGATTACCGGCACTCTTCAGTTTGTTCGTTCAATTTATTGTTGGTACATCCTAAATAGTCAACGAGCTTAACGCTCTGATCGGGAGCTGAAACATTGACTATTTTGGATGTACCAACAATAAATTGAACAAACAAACCGAAGCGTGCCGTAATCTTTTGAAATTCCTATATTATTGTGACTTGGCACCAGGTACCATATTTTTATATTTATAGTGGGAGTGCAAGAGATCCAATTTTTATATATATATATATATATATATATATATATAATTTTACCAACGCAGTGATTTTACCAACGCAATCTATGAATTAAATGCATTCCTTCCCCGAAGGGGATCTTGACATCCAGTCATTTTGTACATGACAGTGTCACTGTATATACCACAGGTGGCACACTAACCACTAAACGACCAGACTAGATTGCAGTCACCTAGTAGAATATCATGGAAGGAAGGTGGGTAACATTTTGAACATTGGTAAGGTTACCATTAGTAGCTATATGGCAGCCAAGTGCCTGCTTAAAGGGACACTTAAGGTATTCAGACCACTTCATCTCAATTACATTTTCTGGGTGAAGTGCCTTCTTGATAGCCACTAGAGATGGTTCCCCTGTGAGAACCAAGTCAGACTCCGTTAGCTGCTCATAGAATTGATTGGCAGAGCACAACACTTTGTTGCGCATGTGCATTAGCCTCACGATGGCCGAGGGTCTCAGCTAGACAAGCCGCAGAGAGACCAGAACAGCAAGGGTGAAAGGTGAGTACATTTTACCTTTTTACTTCCCTCGGGGAGATGCCTAAAATAGTTAGTAGGACACTGTAGCGTTAGAAATACTTAACTATAATCTTATCCTTTAAAACTGAAGCAATGTACTTATATGCATTGTATTCCTGGTATATAGTTTTTGGTAGACTGAGCAGAGCTGCTCTCTAGGCTGTTTTGATATCCCTCTAGGGATAAATTAAAACTCTAAAAAGTAAAATACTATATTGAGAAGTCATGTAACCTTCAGTTCTGCACATTTCAAAGGCCAATGGGGATCAAGAGATATGAGTGCTTCTTTCCATGGGATCATTGAATCTCCTAGTGATGGCTGCTGTGCATTTTGTGTCTGGTATCTTGGATCATTGCCAGCAGATTGGATCTGAGCTATGGGAAAAATATGCTCCTGTGAAGCACTCCTGGGGTTCTTCGTACAAGAGTTATTTGACAGGAAAAGATGTCATATGGTTGACCTTCGGGCTACTTTGGACTATTTTGGATTAAAATATTATTTAAATCCCTTGAGTATTGAGTAAATTAAGGTCTTCTGCACAGGCTTTAACAATTTGGTTTGTGTACAACTTTAGTTTACGGCTGACAGAAAAAAATCGTAAAACATATAACACATTGTATCTATCTATCTTTTTGTTTTTTTTGATAATGGTCATCAGAATTCTTCAGTTTCATTTATCTTTATCATTAACGTGCATCTTGCAAAAAAAAATTGCAACACAATTAATGGGCAAAAATCATGCCCACATTTGCTTGAACTTGTCAGTATTAAGTTCAGCACCTTTTTCAAAGGAAAACATGGTTGATCCCATGGTTACACAGGGGTCCAGTTTTTTACGGGTTTAATTTTATCATCTTGGTCAACAGACGATCTATCTATCTCTATCGTTTGAATGAATGCTTGGCCTATGGAAATTTGTTGACTAACACCTTTTAGATAACACCTTTTAAATAAGCTTAATTTGCCCCCTCACAAAGTCGGGCTCTTTCGATTGCGTTGCTCATGACATTAGTTAATATTTGAGGCTCTAGAGCTTGAATATCTGCCCAGATATTCTCCTTGAGCTGCTCAAGTGTACTTGGTTTGTTTACGTACATCCGCTCCTTCTGATATCCCCACAGGAAGTAATCGGTCAGGCGAACGTGGTTGCCAATTAATCTGGGAATTTCTTGAAATTATCTGCTTGCCAAACAGTTGTCTAAGGAAGTCCGTTGTGGCTCTGGCTGTATGGGCAGTAGCCAATTCCTGTTGAAATAACATTTCAGGATGATTTTCTCTTTTTGTCAAAATGATGGACCTGCCATTTTAAAAATAAAATTCTACTATCTTTACTTGTTCAAATTACCCATGATGAATCTCCCAAGACTGAGTTATAATAAGTACCTGCAACAAAAAAAAAAAAAAATACTAACAAATAAGTTATTTACCTGTCAAATCCTACTCTGATTTTTTTGTCCACCCTGTACATAGGTACAGGTGTGTATATCTACCTATCAATTATTTTCTTCTGGTGTATATGAATTTTGCAACAATGCTGTGACAGACAGGATGTGTCTGTGCTGTGGCCCATTCTTTTGCTTAAGCCAGCAGAGATAACACTGCCAGTCATAGCTTGCTAGGTTCCCAGACAGCAACAAGTCATGCTGCATTGACGTACGGCCTTGCCTTTTATATCTCCGATTCGGGCTTGTATACGTCATGCCAGTATATTTAAACAAACAAACAAAAGAAACAAGTCAGCAGCATTTGTTCTGCTTTTTGGATGTAGGATAAAAGCACTGATTAGATTTTTATTTTATTTTTTTTAAATGTTTTATTAGTGTTTCAAGCCAACTGCATATATTTTTAAAGTAGCAGTAAATAAGACAGTGGCTTAATATGTTCAATACATAAGAAACTAAAAAAAGAAACATAAGAAGTTTTAAACACATTTGTAGTAACCCATTAGAATGAGCTGTTGTTGTTTCCAAGAATGCACCTGCTCCCCAGCTTTATGCTTGTCTGCTCAGTATATATTATTTTAAATCTCTGTGACAGGTTTTACAGCTGAGGCAGAAATCTTCATATAGCCGATAGTAAGATGGCTGCCTCCCTTGTTGATGGTCGAAAGTAAGATGGCTGCCTGGAATGCGCATTTATAGGTTACTACAACTCTTGTTCATACCAAAACGCTGCACATACAGACTCCAGGTACCATGACCACTTCAAATGAGCGCCTTGGCATTTAGGCTGTTATCTATTATTACAAACAACTTTAGCTAAATGCATTACAGTCTAAAATTGTTTAATCTCAACATCAAGACAACTGTATGTGAAACAATAATGATTAATTGATAATTTAGCAGTTTGGGCTTTAATTTTCCACAATGCAAATGTTAGTGAATAATAGAAATAGAAACAAAAACAAATAAGAATGTTTTGAAAGCCAGTCCAACAAGCTTGCAATCGTATGAAAAAGTTGTGCTTTGTGAAGGGCCAGTCCGTTTATTGTGTAGGGAACCTTAGTGTAGGGAACCTTAGTGATCTAAGGACAAAGTGGAAAGACTGAGGATGGAATGGAAATACTAAATGGAAATACTGAGAACGCACTCAGCCTCTAGTAGTAGAATAAATACAAAAACTTTGCAGTGAACGCAATTTTTGTGTTTTTTATTTTGAACATTGGTGCTTTCTTTATTATAATTTTAATGCCTTTGGGAGACAATGTGTTAAGTTTTCATATAAAACTTTTATTTTTTTTTAAACTTGTGTCATAAATAACTCTAGGATTTTGCAGGACTATCTAGAGACAGGAAGAGGGGTAGGGAGGGAGAAGCAGGATGAAGAAAGGGGAGAAAAGCCATGGGGAGTGGGGGTCTTTGCAGTCACGTAATTGATCACTTTTAAAAACAAATTCCAGAAGTGCTTTGCCACAGGGTAATCACATTTTAGCATGGCAATGGTGTGTTAGTAGTTTGGTATACTGCTATTAAACCAGTACGAGAAACATTGTTTGTTCTGTACTCATTCGTGATGTATATGGGGTTTATTCCCTAATGCAGTAATTGTGCAGAATTGATAATGAATTTTGGAAATTTTAGGTAACTGGAAGCAGAGCCAGAAAACTAGCGGAGTTAGAGAAAATTAGGCCGTTATGTTTTTCCAAGTTGAATATAAATTCCAATTATAAAACAATAATTTTCCTCCTCAAAGAATGATCTTCTTTTGACTATTGGAATGCCCATTAACAGTTTCTGTTTTTCTCTGATAGCGTATACTATGCACACTCCACGTTTGTCTAGATTATTAGGTTGAACCTGCTTGTTTCATTGGTAGGCAGTCCCTATCCTTTCATTCCTTCTCTGCATAGGGACTGCCAACCAATAAAACAAGCAGGTTCAACCTAATAATCTAGACAAACGTGGAGTGTGCATAGTATACGCTATCAGAGAAATACAGAAACTGTTAATGGGCATTCCAATAGTCAAAAGAAGATCGTTCAGTAGCATGTCTCTCCCTTCAAAGTGTTGAGAGGCAGGAATGAAGATTTAATAGAACAGGCTTCTGATTACTCGTGCTATGTACTAGGAGCAATAATAGTATACAGAAAATTAAAGGCAACAAGGGTTATCCAAAACCAGCTTTATATATTTATATTCCTATCACTGACCCTGTTCCACTACAATAAAATGTAGAAATATTAATAAAAATAGAAATTTCTCCTCACCCTACTCTATAATCCAGTTATTATGCAGACTGAGGATGTTGTACAATTAATCTTCAATAAAAAATACAAAAATGTTTAAAACAATTATTGGATAAATGTCACTTAAATCCTTTCTGGCTGTAGAAATATGCTCCCAATATTATCTTCCCATACAGCTGCTAAAAACAATACAATTAGTAATAAAAATAAACAGTTACACAGAAAAACATGACTCCAAACCTTTCCGCCTAATGGCTTTTATTACTCTTGTGTCAAACATCCCTGGTGCTTTCCATTCATATAATGAGCATGAATGGAGCAACCTTCTTCATATGCATAGCTATGGGAAAACCCTTTATACTTACAGGCGTGTGACTTCACACATGTGTGTGTTCCGCAGGTTCTCTGATAGCATGAAGAACAGCAGATACAATTTCATTTAATAGCACAGAGGTGGTTTAACTTGTTCTGTGTGTTTGAGTTGTGCTAGTATGCAAATATATTTTACTGGGTCAAGATATCAATGAAAAATAGGAACAGTAAAATGAGATTAGAAGGAAATGATATGATAAATGGTATTGTCGAGAGCTCAGATTTATTTCCTTCATCATATCCCTACTTATTTATCCCACTTATTCTGTTGGAAGGTCAATCTGTGTACACAGAAACATGTATTATTATAATTATTATTGGTATTTAAAACAATAGACAAAATATTATAAATGTGAACAGGAGAAAGAGGGTACTAAGCTTAGCCATTACAGTTAAAGTTATATCCTTAAAGGACCACTCTAGGCACCCAGACCACTTCAGCTTAATGAAATGGTCTGGGTGCCTGGTCCCTCTAGGATTAACCCTTTTTTTTATAAACATAGCAGTTTCAGAGAAACTGCTATGTTTATACTGAGGGTTAATCCAGCCTCCAGAGCCTCTAGTGGCTGTCTCATTGACAGCCGCTAGAGGCGCTTGCGTGCTTCTCACTGTGAAAATCACAGTGAGAGCACGCAAGCGTCCATAGGAAAGCATTGTAAATGCTTTCCTATGCGACCGGCTGAATGCGCGCGCGGCTCCTGCCGTGCATGCGCATTCAGCCGATGACGTCGCGAGCAAGGAGGAGAGGAGGAGTACAGCTCCCCGCCCAGCGCTGGAGAAAGGTAAGTGTTTAACCCCTTCCTCTCTCCAGAGCCCGGCGGGAGGGGGTCCCTGAGGGTGGGGGCACCCTCAGGGCACTATAGTGCCAGGAAAACGAGTATGTTTTCCTGGCACTATAGTGGTCCTTTAATTCCTCATATATTAACGTGTGTGTTTCAGACAGTACAGGGGTGGCTAAAAGGTTGATTTTTAGGCTGGCAAAGCATAGTGTGAGTTGTAGTAGTATAGAAACAACTGGGAATCGACTGTTTCGCCACCCCTGATTTAGCATAGTCAGCATACCTCCTAACATGTTGGTGGGCTAGGAGTGGTGGAATGGAATGGTTGGACCTGTGTGTCAGGTGAGTGTTTATGGCCCCAGAGCCATGAATTTGCTTTGTCCCAGTCACTATTTCTATAAGGAGAATGAAGGGAGGCCCATACCAGTTCCACTGCTTAGGACATCTTAAAGGGTTACTCCAGGCACCATGACCACTTCAGTTATTTATAGTGGTTATGGTGCTTGGAGTCTGTATGTCCAGCATTTCGCTATGATACACTGCATATACAGAGAGTAACTCCAATGCTCCATGGTGTAATTCCATCTCTGGCAGAGTCATTGGGGCGTCATCAAGAGTTAAAAAGTCAATAAGCGTTCCAGGCTGGCAATTGTCAGTTGTGTGCATATTTCTGTGCACTGACACTGATTCGTTGGAGGTCAGCTGATGCTGTCAACCAATGTATGAGCAGTGGAATAGGCATCTGGCTGTTGCAGCTGTGCTGAAGCCTGATGTCATAACTCAGCACCACAGGAGACCAGGTGCCCTACTAATATCCAGGTGAGAAGGTAAAAAATGGCAAAACTGGGGTATGGAGGGTTCCACGAGCATCAGTTGCAGTAATTATGATGCTTGTAGTAACTCTTTAATACTTGTCTGCAGATGTGGGACACCAGGGAAAAAACCCAAGGCAGCAAAACAGAACTCGAAATACAATAATCAGCAGCTGTGATATAGAAATGGTTGTTGTGGATGATGTGAGTTGTAATGCACTGAGCATACTGAGAATTATACCCCACAGTGTCTTTAGTACAGAGTACATGCTGTAAATTGAAGCCTTCATAAGCTTATATGCATGCTGGCCTGTTTCTGCAGTAAACTAATTTTAGAATAACCACAGCTGCCTGAGTGTGTTGGGAGTTCACGTTCATAAACACCTATTAGCAAAAAATTCCTCAGCATAATGTGACTTTGTGTTGGCATTACCATGGCTTGCCTAAGAAAATTTTATTGTGTTTGACACGTAAAGCTGACCAGGGAGTATCAAATAAATGTCAGACCCCACTCAAACAAATAGCTTGATGTTCAAGACCCCTAAAATGATTTGTCCACAACCACATGCAGTGCTGGCAGGGCTAAGGGCCTTACACCCACAACCTTGTGATTTAAAGAACTGTGCTGTAATAACCTAACAGCATTACTTCCCACAGAAAGCCACAAAATCTCCTATTGGCACCAGGTCAGATTGCCAACTGCGCTTGTGATAGGTTTTGCCGACAAACTGCCAAGTGCATTAAGAAGGAAACTGATCTTGTGTACTTAAACAAAGCAACCATGATCCCTAAGCAATGCATTCTAAAAGCCGCACTGTGTTTTCGTGTCCCTTCGAAATGTTCTTTTCAGAACCCGTCATGTTTCCCTCTGCCATCTGTTTCATTGCTGCCAAGCAGGTCTGTCCACTTCTTCGAAACAAGTTTGGAACTGGATCTTTCCTGTTTAACCCATTCAAATGCTAAATCACAAAATGGATTTATGATGGTCTATTATGGGATTTTTGTTTTCCACCTTCTACTGATTGTGGAAATTTGCCTTGTATACCTTTTGAGCAGCAGAATATTAATGCCCTGGAGAGCAACATATGTGTTTGCACACTCAACATGAATTCCTTCTTTTTAATGTGTGATAGCAATTATGTGTTCGATATTTTTTCCAGTTTGGGAGTTTATTCGCCAAGCTAAGGGCTGGCCCCAATCTTATTTTCTGACTGATATTGATATTTGTTGAATAAAAACAGTTACAAGAGCACAGGCATTTTTAGAGTGTTTCTCTGCTGTTTTAGATTATTACCCCCCACCCTCTCCCCCCTGCACGATAACCTTAAATAAATAATATTTACTCACATTACCTCCCCTGTAATGCTGTTGTGTTCTTCTTTTAAAACAAAAGATGTTAATAAGTTCGGGCAACTGTACAAGTTGTTTTTTTCTGAACTTAAACCTTAGTATTCAGGTTTTATTGCCCTGTTGGCACTTTGAGGAAAAAAGAGTTGGCATGTATTGCGGTTTGGGCACTCTGGCTCAAAAAGGTTCGCCATCACTGTATTAGATCAATACATCTCTATGGGGAGTGTTCTGCATTTTCATACAGAATGTGTAGACCCAAAACTTTGGTGCTGCAAAAATTGCAGGATCACACCATGACGGTCTGACTGTATATTTATATACCAAGCTTATGGACCTGCCTGAGTTAGTCCGAATCAAAATCCTTTTGATTCACATCTGAACTAATCAATTCACCTGGAAACCGAATTTTCTGTGAAAAAATGGGTGCAATATATAACACAAATGTGGAGCGTTCATCTTTATGGGGCAACAAGGGTTATTGGCTCTCCTTTGAATCGGGAGGATATCTGAAGGGACTTAAAGTTTTTTACATGTTGCTAGTTGAATTGTTATTAATTATGTATGTGTGTGTCCCATTGCTGGAAGAAAATCTGCGATAATTGTATCAGAGCTCATCCTTGTGAGTCAAAGAGGGTGGTCAGAGACGAATGTCTGTGTGTTTTATCACTCTGCAACTTTTATATCGACTGAAAACATATAGTGGCTGGTGAATCTTTGACGTCCAGTAATGGCTGGAGGTCCATCAGATGCCAAACCCTTGGTTTACACCAGGGGAGTCCAATAGTTAACGTCTAAACATTTGTAGATCTTCACCTCCCATAATTTTTTTTTTCAACATGGTCTATACTGAGCTATAGCTTTGTGCCTTTCTATAGTTTAAATGGTGTGGCTATTATGGAGACTCATTGTCGTGTTGAGATACATTGTATACTAGCCCTGAAGCACCTTATTGCTGTAAATATCAGGGCGAAGAACAGAGTGACTCAGAAGCTTAAATTAACCTAATAGAATCTCCACCCTTTAGTGACTTCTGTGGGAACTAAACTATATTTAAAGGCTTTTAGTTTGAAACACGGTTATAGTAATCCAGGGTGTGTTATTTTTGTTATAATATTTAGCTACATATGAAGGCCCAGAAAAAGAATATAAATAATGTAATTAAAGGCCATCGCAACTGACATAATAAATGAACAGGAGGGGTTTGCATAAAGCATACATTCTCACAGGTAGTCTGTATTTCAATGATATATTGCAGTCCTGTACTGGCTAATGGAATATCTTAAAGTAGCCAAATGTTCCACTGATTTACTGTAAGAACTTTGAATCCCAGCACATATTTGAGTAATAAGCAATTGAGGAACTAATTTGAGGATAACTGGAAAGTGAATTGTTCCGGCAACCTGTCTTTGAAATCCCCTTAGTTTTAAATTCAGTTTCTATCTCGTTTACATTGAGCAGGAGAAGAAAGAAAAAAACTGTCGTAACTGCACTATAAATAAGGACAAATCCTGTTGTTTCAGGGAGTTAGCGGAATTGTTTAAATGTTTTTTAGGTTATTTAAATTTTAATATACGGTTTTCTGGTTGTCCGCATTTGGCTCACAGATAATACTGCAATTATAGTGTTAAGTGTGGTACATGTTAAAGCACAAGACACCCTACAGGATCCCAGAATGCAATGCTGTCATTGTCATGTGAGATGGTGACAAGAGCATTATGGGTGCATGCGCAATGTATAGTCGAAGGAGACTTTCTTATCTGCTAATTAATGGCAGTAGTCTCTTTCTCTAATGTATTTTTTTTTTTATTATTTAATAGCCTGATCACGCTTATAAAGAAGACACTTCCATTCTGTTTGCCATTGTATGATACTGGAGAATCTGTACAATATAAATAATTACTGTTAATGAAGATACACTATTCAGTATTGTACATACAGAAGGTAGTGACTGATTTGGTACTAAAGGTCTACGTGGATAATATATTGTATGTTTACATCATACTGCAAAACCTGTTACTCAGGACTAGCTTTCCTCATCGCTCCTGTCTCCTGCCAAGGTGTAAAAGGCAGATTCTGTCTTGCTGAGCATGTCTATGTAAAGAAGTGGCATGGGCTGGACTTATGTAAGGTGCTTGGGGATGCCTAGGGCACTGTCCCATTTTCGGTAGGTGTTACCTTTCTCTTAGAAATGCTTGGGAACGCATCTTTCAAAAACAACCAGACTCTAAATTTTGATAGGTGGGGGAGAGAAAATGCAGCTTGCCCTGGCAAGGTTCTTTGTGATTGTCTTTATTTACTATTGTGAAAGCTTCGTACACTTAGTCCTTTTTGCAAATGAGAAGGCGTTTTCTGCATCCGAGCTACGATTCTTGAACTTGGAAACTAATCATATTCGGTTGTCTTGGGTTATTTAATTACTGAGTAAATATAGTAATGGGCATGTTGTCATGACAACTCTTTTTTTTTTCCAAGTATCTTGCAGGTATTATTTAAAAGCCATGCAGATACAATTACCAAATTACCTTAATACACAGACCAAAGCTCTTTATTTCAAGAAAAAAAAAGGAGAAAGAAAACGGGTCGTTCCGTTCTATATATTTATTACCTTGCATTATTGGGGTTTTTGCTAAATTGTAGAAAATGGATTATAGTGTAGGCTATAATTTATTTTTTTCCTAAAATTAGTTTTGGCCTAAATTTTGCTATTTTATTTTCAGTCCACTACAGTGAGGCGTTCAGTGAATAAGCCTGAACTTTTGTCATACTGGTTGTACAATAAGCTTCCTCCCTAGTTAAAACCCCAGTTAAAATCATCGCACCCTCCCTAATACACACGTATGTCCCGTCGAGGCTCCTATGCTACATACACCTACATATATACTCTGTCCATACTCCCACCTCTAACGTTTGCCTCCAAGACTTTTCCAGGGCTGCACCTCTTCTGTAGAACTCCCTTCCTTTCTCCGCAAGACTTTCACCCAGTCTCCACTCATTCAAAAAATCATTGAAAACTCACTTCTTCAAGAAAGCATATCAATAAAACTGTTAGCAGGTTTTTATCCCCCACTCCCCATGACTCCTCTCCTGCAACTGTCAAAAATGACCTACTAAGCCCTTAATGAATACTTTTCTAACAACTTACTTTGTACCCCTACTTTTACCCTTTCTGTCACTATACCCCACTCCCTCTAGAATGTAAGCTCGTTAAGCAGGGCCCTCCACTTCTCTGTTCCTGTAAGTCCAGTTGTCTGGTTACAATTACATGTCTGTTAGTCCACCCATTGTTCACTGCTATGGAATATGATGGCGCTATATAAATCATAAAATAATAATAAAAATTGCACCCCACTTATTTCTCATTGCCTTCATATGTAAATACTGTTAAATCACCCTGCCCACAGCTGCAGTAGATCAGGCAGCTGGGAGATGTCTGCTAGGTATAGTTACAAACATTGAATGCAGCGGTGATTATGGTGGTAGTGAAACTGGAGTCAAGGAATCTACCTTGTTTTGACCTCTCTGGCCTGAATTTTCCACATTCCTGTCAGCCAAAACCCACAGAGACTCAGAGCCATAATGTCAGCTGGTGTGCATTCAGCTTTCTTTCCCAGTGTATTTTTTTTCTTTTTCTTTTTTTTTTTACTAAGAACTGATTTCCGAGAACATTTAAACAGTCTGAAAAATAAAGTTTCTTTTTAAACTCATAGTATAGGATTTACATAGGGTGAAGCAGTGCAATGACGTTAGGTCCGTCATGCTGTCTGACTGCTATGTTGTGAAACGTGCAAACTCATCTAAACACAGTACTTGAATGTAATACTCCTAAAATCCCCCACTACTATGTATCACAAAATATATATTCGTACTCATGAACTGCGTTTGTTACGGCCTACAGAATGTTTTTGTTTTGTGCTATTCAATGTTTGTGGAGGTTTTTTGTGTTATAGGTACGTGCATACATGTACGTGTCCCTAGGAGGTACGTAAGTGTGTTTGTGCGATTAGGAGAAAAAATCATACGTACATAAACAAATACTTAATAAATATGGGTTTGATATCTAAAACCAACAATATCTGTGCTTTTTTGCATCACTGTGTGGAATTCTGGGAAAGTTGTGTAATCGTGATCGTTCAATACTTTTCGTGCCTAGAGTAATTTTGTTTTTCAAATTTCATTTTGTGATATTCACGACATTATATATAAAAAAAATATATAATATTTTATTTTGTACATATTGGAAGCCACTGGAAGGGTATATTTTCGGACCGAGAAGAACTGGCATTCGTTTTAAGATTTGTAGCTCCCTAGGTCCTGGAATTTGTTGATTCCTGAACACTGACAGGGTTATTTACTAAAGTAAAAATGGAAACTAAATGTCAAATTTAAAGCCAGAGTAGCTAAATAATAGCTATAGTCCAGTTTGACTATGTGGACTTGAAATTTGGAATTCAGTTAGCATTCTCACTTTGAATAATCCCATGAGTCTATTGAGACATATTCTGGACAATTTTTATTATTATTGTCATTTATATAGTGCCAACAGATTCCGCAGCGCTTTACAATATTACAGTCTATAGGAGGTGGGGTGTAAAACACTTTAGGACAGGAAATAGCAATCAAATAAGGTGGGTGTCATGACTTTGGCCAGGGTTGTTATTTGAGAATTTATTGGTGCTTTTAGACATATTAAGAAACTTGAGAAAAAAACTGAATTAAGGCATAATCCTACAAAACAGGATACTTGCAAATAATAAAGAACGTCTGTGATCTCCAGGTAGGGTTGAAACAAAGGCAGGTTGGTATCAAAGGCAGACTGGTTACAGAGGCAGGCTGCTAACAGTGGAAGACTGATAACAGAGGCAGGCTTGTAACACCGGAAAGCTGGTAACAGAGGCAGAGGTCAAAATCATACGTAAGAGAGACCGAAAAGGGGTATACGTGCAGATCTGTGAAGAGGTATAAGAGGGGCTAGAAATGCTTTATAGGTATAGATTAGCACTTTGAATTGACTCCTATAGGATACATGAAGTCAATGTAAGGACTGGCAGAGGGGTGAGGTGTGAGAGGACCGACTAGAGAGGAAAATCAGTCTGGAGAGACATATCTGGGTGTCATCAGCGTACTGGTGGTAGTGGAATCCAAATGAGGTAATATGTTTGCCAAGAGAGGCAGTATAAAGAGAAAATAGAAGGGGACCAAGGGCAGAGCATTGGGGGACTCCAACCGAGACAGACGAAGGGAGGAGGTATCATTAGTAAAGTTGACACTAAACGAGCGTTGGGAGAGATAAGCGGAAAACCACGAGAGGACAGAGTCACAGAGACCGAGTGATCAAAGAGTATGAAGAAGTAGAGCATGATCAATGGTGTCAAAGGCAGCAAGAGGTCAAAAATAATTGGAAGAGAGTAGTGGCCTTTGGACTTAGCTGCGATTGGGTCCATAGTAACTTTGATAAGAGCAGTCTCAGTGGAGTGGAGGGGGAGGAAGCCAGATTGAAGAGAGTCAAGGAGAGAGTTGGAATTGAGGAAGGGAGATATACGGGTAAAGACAAGTCTTTCCAGAAGCTTTGAGGAAAAAGGGAGCAGGGATATGGGACGAAAGTTAGAGGAAGAGGATGGGTCAAAAGAGATTTTTTTCAGGATAGGTACTAAAGTGGCATGTTTAACGTCAGCAGGGACAACGCCAGAAGTGTGAGAGCAGTTGAAGATGTGTGTTAAGGAAGGCACAAGACAAGGGGAGAGAGATCTGATAATGTGAGATGGGACAAGATCAAGCGGGCAAGTGGTGGGGTGAGAGGAAATTTAAATTTTTTTTATTGTGGTAATTTTTTATTGTGGTAATGTAGTCATCTGTTGTGTTCAACCTTCCTATTGTTCTTGTTATTATTTACAAAGTGCCAACATATTCTGTAGCGTTGAACAATAGGTGGGTAAAAAAAAACAAATAAGTCAGAATACAGGAACAGAATGTGACAAGGGCACAACTCAAGCAAAGTTTTATTTTAAATTAATCTCTTTCTCTTTTTTTTATTTTTTTATTTTTTTATGTTAGATCAATTGTATCATTTGTTTTCTGGTTATATGCTGGGGTAGTTGTAGCCAAACTCCTCGCCCCTTTTTCTTGGCTGTTGTTTGGTATTAGCCCCTGGCTAGACGGATTAAATACTACCGCATGTTCTGCTGTGAGGAGGAATATATCCCACACAAGGCAGAGCTATGCCATTTGCTTTAACCCCTTCAGAACCAGTGACATCATGAAAGTTATTGCAAGGGATTTTACTAATCCTAAAGATATGTGCATTTTCTGTTATTAGGCACGGGAAGTTGATTTGTACCAAATTAAAGGGATAGTATAGTGTCAGGAAAACACACCCGTTTTCCTGGCACTATAGGCTCTTGGAGTGCCCCTCTCGCTCGGGACCCCCCTCTCTCAGTGCTGAATGGGGTTAAAAACCCCTTCAGCCACTTACCTGAAACCAGCGCCGATGTCCCTCGGCACTGGGTCAGGCTCCGGGGAGACCTAATGTGCGTGCGCGCTTTAGACCTCCCCAAAGGATAGCATTATTCAATGCTTTCCTATGGGGAAAATCTGATGCTGGAGGTCCGTGAGGAAGACCAGTGTCAGATAACGGACCAAAAGTCCGAATCTCTCTAGTGACTGTCTGGTAGACAACCACAGAGGGAAGACTTAGAACTGCAATGTAAACATTGCAGTTCTCTGGAACTGCAATGTTTTACATTGCAGCACTATGTCCAAAAGGGTCAAAGCACCCAGACCACTTCAATTAGCTGAATTGGTCTGGGTGCCTACAGTGTCCCTTTAATTTGTATATGTGTGTAAAAAAAATGTCCACTTGCTTCTACTAATTCAAGTGTTAAAATGTAGCCCTGGTGAGTAGATATTCCCCCCTGTTTAGTTTGACATGGATTCTCCAGGCTTGCAGTGATGAGTAACTTTTATGGCCTGGCTGGTAGGCTAGTATTTGAACTTTTAAAGGACCCATTGAGATGAAGTGACCTAGTTGCAGTGGTCCTTTTAGTTTTAACCCTGCAATGTAAAACATTGCATTTTGTTAAGAAATTGCAGTTTTTACATTGCAGGGTTAAATCCAACTTCATGACAGCCACTGTAGGCACTTCTGCGGCATTGACTGAGTAAAACGCATTTGCTGCGGAAGCCCCCATAGGAAAGAATTGATTCGGTGCTTTCCTATGGGGACGCTTGGATGAGCAAGTGAAACTTGCCGCGCATGCGCGTCATGTCTCCAGTGCTCCCATTCCACATCCATAACGTTGTGGGAAGAGGAAAAGTAAACCGAGCAGAGGGAGCCTAGGTGCTGGGAAAAGGTAATTAAAAATCTATATTATTTTCCTTCCTCACATGGGGGGAGGGGGGCTATTTAATTAGGATAAGGACACTGAAACATTAGAAATACAAGTATTCCTAACACTTTAGTGCTCCTTTACGCTCTATATATAGTGAAATTCATACACAACATTCTTATCAAATACCTCTAATATATCGCATTACTGTAAATCTGTGCAAGCCCAAATATTCCATCCTGATACATCTCATGCAAATTTCACTTACACAACTAAAAACTGTTTAAACAACGTCTACCTTTGCATGACATGTTCAATTTATTTATAGTGTTTTCCATAAACCTGGTTTTCCCCATAAACAAATCACCCTCGTTTCTACTTATAAACTTTTATTCAAGAAATTGAATCTGCTTCCTCCTTTAACCCAGTGAAACCTTTTGATACTATTGAAGATGTTTTCCATATCCCTGTTATTGTTTTCTTTCCTGTGTGTATATGCAAATTTGGTGTTGTAGCAACATTGGCTGGCCAGCTTGCTGTCACCGTATCAGGTAACCCCTAGAATGCCATCTGTACATGAAAATAACCCAGCATGCTTTGCTATAGCCTTTATTTTGAATGTAATGGCTACCGTGTGTGAAACTTTTTAACATGGTAACCATAATGTTTCCAATTCACTTATTTTAGCCGAAAATGTTTAATTCGCTTCAATATTACTTCATATTCCTGACAGTTCAGACTTTAGTGAGCAACCCTGATAGTCTGCAGTGATGTGCAAGACATTTACATTTTCACCGCAAGCAAGACAAAAGGCTTAATAAATATATATTTTTATATTATCTGAATTTTCACTAGCAGTGAAAGAGTTAAAGGAAGTTGAACAAAAGCCAAATAATTGGTTGTGTGAGTGTCTGTGCTGTGATGCCAGTGGAAGAAATGTGATCTGCTTTTGTGTGAGAGGGGGAGGACAGGATACACAGAAATAGAAGGCAATAGGCACCCCTATAAACTCATACAGGCTCTCTGACACTTTGTCACAACCGTTTGTAGGCAGTGACTAATTTCATGTGGATAAGATTGTGACATCTCATCTGGTTTCAATATAGCCTCAGCTATTTGCACTTGTATGTTCATAAACTTACTTATGTACATAGTTGTCTAATGCTAGATAAATTAATGCTGTTTTGAGGCACTGGATATTACCCTAAAAAGTATATTTATCATGAAAAACTGTTCTGTAATATTAGGCAATTTGTAGTATTTTATTTATTTTATCCTTTCATTAAAGGAACATTATAGGCATTAAACAACTTAAGTAAATATAGCATTTTTTGTGTATAGCTCATACCCATGCAGTTTGACAGCCCAATTCTCTGCCATGTAGGAGTTAAATCCCTTTTGTTTCTGTTTATGTAGCTCTGGGCACACATCTCCTGGCTGTGGCTGACATAGCCAGCATGAAAAAAGGTTAAATTTTTTTAATCAGATGTTAACTCTCTTTAGAATCTTTTATCTCATGCTCTGTAAATTGAACTTTGCATGGTCTAAAAGGCTGTTAACAGAGTAAGAGGTAAGACATTTTGAAATTAACAATGTATAATAAAGATATTAGATGTCTCTTTACAAGAAGTGTTTTGGAAGGTTGTGTAAGTCACATACAGTGAGTTGTGGCTAGGGCTGCATAAACAAAGTGATTAAAATTCTAAATGGCAGACGATTGAGCAGTGAGACTGCAGAGGCATGATCTATACACCAAAACTGCTTTATTAAGCTAAAGTTGTTTTTATGCCTATAGTGTCCCTTTAATGCTAGCTGGTGGCTGGTGTTCATTGTTGGTGATATTTGGTTACTTTGTAACGGAATATGGCCTGCTCTGTTCCCCTTTTCTTAAATAAAACACTCCGGGCACCATAACAACTTTAATTGAAATTAAGTTGTTATGGTGCCAGGAGATTCAGGACCTTTGTATACCTTCGGGGGTTAACTCGTTAACAAACGCCTTCTTTACACATGCATGTATTTTTCTCAAGCTATTTTGTGAATGGGGAGCTACTGTTGGGTTGAGAACATTAACTACCGCTCTCAGCCTATCAGCGGCCTATCAGTCCTCAGACTCAAATAAATGTGTAGGGGGCAGAGGTGACCAGCACCAGATAGAAGACTTTGGGGTTAAATTGTTCAACAATTTAAACCCTAAAGATAAACCTACACCAGGGACCTCCTGGCACCATAACAACTTTATTCTGGTAAAGTTGTGGTTCTCCGAGTATTCCTTTAATAGATTCACTTTAAAAATGTTGGGAATATTAATGGTAGTTTTTGAATGTTAAACTTGGGTGTGATTATGCATTACAATATTACTGCAATGTACAGATATTTGGTAAGCAAAATACCAAATATTTGGTACTTACAGCGGTACTTTCATTTATTCAGTTAAATGGCATAAATAATATTGAGATTCAAAGAGTCCCCAAATGTCCAGATCATGTGATGAACTATTTCTGAAAATAGAAAGAACTGGAAATTTGCTAACATTGAATCATACCCTACTCAGCGGTTCAGGATGTTTATATGCAAATCTGTCTAAGCTTTATTAAAGTCACGTTGAAAGAAAAAAAAATTTAAACTGCCTACTGATTTAAGCAAATTTTAAAATTTAGAAAAAGTATGTCTCAGCACAAATCAATATCTGAAGTTGGTCTTTGGGTCATTAGGACTGTTACCCATGCATATGCAAAAATAAAATGCACAAAATGAACAATAGCAGCATGGTGTTCTGGGGGATTTGTGGAGACAAAATCTTTCAGAACTAGTTTGTCTGAAAGACTTTTTTTGTCTTTGGATCTGTATGTGATAACAGTAAAATAAAATTATTTGTACATATTCGCTTCAGCTTAATGAAGTGGTCTGGGTGCCAGGTCCCTCTAGGATTAACCCTTTTTTTATAAACATAGCAGTTTCAGAGAAACTGCTATGTTTATAAATGGGTTAATGCAGTCCTCAAAGCCTCTAGTGGCTGTCTCATTGACAGCCGCTAGAGGCGCTTGTGTGCTTCTCACTGTGAAAATCACAGTGAGAAGATGCCAGCGTCCATAGGAAAGCATTGTAAGCCAGTTTTTTTTCCTGGCATTATAGTGGTCCTTTAAATGCGTTTTTCGAGAACAAGCCTACAATGCAAACGTCAGCAACCATTTTATTGGAAAAAATCAGTTACTGTTCTTTCTTATTCATTGTTATTACAGCTGTTGGCATTGGTAAATTTAATCATTTTACATTGAGCATTTAAAAAAAAAAATTTAGTGACGCAGGGCATCTGCTATATAGCTGCACAAGCTCATTTCTGATTTCATAATTATGAATAAATCTCTTAATGACTGCAGAAAAAGGCATTGAAGCATTTGCCAGCACCTATAAAATTTAAATGTAGAAAACGTGTTACAACTTGTTAATTCTGTCAGATCTCCAAAGGGAAAAAAAATATGCACAAGGTATACCAAAGGTAGTCTGCCCATTGAAGTGTCTTATGGGATTACTGCCGCCCAATTTCTGCCCTTTTATGTGGAAATGATCTAGTTTCCTAATAACTTCATAAAAGGCGCACCTTAAACCCCCTCCCCCTTCCCCCCCACCTGCTGTCTGGGCCCAACATATCCAACGCCCATTCATTTTATTCTAACAAGTTAAAAAGATTTTGCTTTCTGGATGTTTATAGCAAGAAACAGGAAGTAAGGAAATTCACCTCTGCCCTTTAGTCCTCTTTCATTTCTGTTCCTACAAGTCACTTCTAAGACCAACCAAATTTCCTTTTTTACCACAGTACCGTTAGCTATTTGGATACTGAGCACTGACTTGGTTAGCCTGTGTCCTCTAATGTTTTTTTGTTTGTGATCATTTCAGATGTTCAGGTGACACGTTCCTGATCTAGTCACTCGTCATGCGTCAGAATTTATGTAGAACAGGTCTTGAATCATTCCTTAAAGAGATCAACGTTAAGCTTTTTTTGTTCACATTTTAGTGTCCATTACCCTGTTTGGCAGGTTTATCTTCATGTACCAAAGTTGAGCTGTATACCCTACAGCAGGGGTAGGCAAACTTCGGCACCCCATTTGTTGTGCGTTACATCTTTGCTGATGCTTTGCCTGCACTATGGCTGTAAGAGCATTGTGGGAGATGTAGTTCACATCATCTGTAGTGCCGAAGGTTACCTACCCCTGTCCTACTGTCTGTCTTCTGATACAAAACAAAATGGAGGTTCTATTGGAATATAGGAAAAGTGCTTGAGTAAAACCACCCATCCTTGTGTCTTGTACTTAATTGACATCTTTTAGCCAACAGGACTAAGTATTTCTCTAACTTTCTTGCAATAGTCTATAGAGGGGCCTTCTACATTATCATGTTTGCTAGCCTCTGACCTAGGTTACATTTACAGGGACACTGTAGGCACCAAGACCATTTCAGCTAATTGAAGTAGTCTGGGTGCTGTGACGCTTTTGCACCTAGTGCTGCAGTGTAAAACATTGCAGCTCTAAGTCTGCCCCCTGTGGCTGTCTAACAGACATCCAACAGAGGGCTTCTGGAATCCAAACAGACTTTTGGTCCGTTAACTAACGCTGGACGTCCTAACAGACCTCCAGCGTCAGATTTTCCTTATAGAAAAGCATTGAATAATGCTTTCCTATGGGGAGGTCTAATGCGCGCGTGGCCATTGCCGCACATGCGCATTAGGTCACCATGATGGCTGACGTCGGCAGGCGAGGGGCGTGGGCGGAGCCTGAACCAGCACCGAGGCACATCGGCGCTATATTTAGGTAAGTAGCTGAAGGTTTCTTCACCCCGTCAGCGACATGGGATAGGGCGCGGGAGGGGGGCACTCCAGGATTCTCTGGTGCCAGGGAAACGGGTTTGTTTTCCTGGCACCTGAGAATCCCTTTAAGATGGTTGTCATATAGTCTGATAGAAGCAGTGTACTGAAAAAAAAATCATCTAAACATTTTATATTGTTGGAATTTTAACCTGCGTAACAAACCATAGGAGATAAGCATTAAACAGGTATGTGTAGCCCGTAAACTGTAACATATGGGTTACTGAAGAACATTGACTTTTTATGCCTGAGGCACAATTCCTCTATTAGCTCACAGCAGTACATAAGCCAAACCAGTCGCAGTGATCTTTATATGCAGTCAAGGTAGTCCATAGTAATTAAGAAAATGATCCAGGGTAGGCATTATGAGACCACAGATGATTGACTCAGTCGGCCTAGGAGTTCCCACGGGCTGCAAAAAGACCTGGCATCTACCCCAGTAATGTTGGCAAGATTCCTAAGCCATTGTGACACAAACAGATGGGATATATTTATTCTGGGGCCTTTCTATATAAGAAAAAGTTAATGATTGCATTATTGTGAAAGTAAGAAAAGCCTGAAAGCCTTTGAGATATTTGTGTGTTTATATTTTATAGGAAAATCTGATTTTAAGAGAAGCAGGTCCACATTTTCTAGAAATAAATGAAAAAGGAGAATTAGCGGCAAACAATGTCAGTGGTGTTAGTTTGCTGGTCATGGAAAGGATCTGCCAGTTTAGTTGAACCTAGTAAGCAATCTTCATTGTGACGTCCCAGTACCTCCTTTACTTGTCTGGGAAGTGTCTGTGAGAGGTTCTAAGGTTTGAAAGATGGAAAAACCATCACAAGAGGTGTACTTCTACAGCTGTTGTTCAAGCTATTGGCCATTCCTGCTCTAAGGCCTTCAGCTGGAAATGCTGTCCACCTCTAGAAAGGCGGATGTATTTTCCCTGACTCTTAAGTCTGATGCCTCCTGAAATCAAGTTCAGCAAATTACAGTGTTTGAGTTAAATCACAACACTCATCAGCACTAGTCCGAGTTCTTTTAGCTCATCATCTTTCGGTGGCAGACAAAGTGCTAGGTTTTAGATGTTGACAGAACCTCTGTTTTTATACCAGTTGAAAATAGACCTCAATGCTGTACTCCTGCACATGCGCGAGAGCACAGCAGTGACGCTGACTCCTGGCACTGAAGTGAAGGAGCAGAAGAGGATGAGGACACTGTGTGACCAAGAATTGGTACTCAAAGACTCTCGATAGCCACTACAATGAGCTCTAAGATTTATGATCATATGTGCCTCCAGTATAGGTAAAAGGGGGCAAGTGCCCCTCTTCCAGAATTCACTATTTTTTATTTAAACGTGGCCTAAGAGTTGACAGTGCCTTATTGTACATTATGGTGACCCCCACCAATGGTCATGGTCATTTTCAGTATATTCAATGAGCCAATGGAATAATGGATTACTAGGTTTCAATACCAAATAATAGGCCTTCAGACTAATACCTATGCTATCATGTGCCTCCTTGACAAAAAGAGCCCACAGTTTATGTGGTCAAGCTGTCAGGTTACTGAAGGAAGTGGCTCTGCTTTATACTGTATTTTTTCCCTACTTCTTGTTATTTTAGCTAAAGCCGTTAGTACAGGGTGTTGAACAGCATTCTCCGAGAGGTGATGAAGTTATGTTTGCTCCTGTTGTCTCAGATGTCAGTGAGATGTGGAAAACCCCTCTAAGACTGTAGGGTAAAAGCAAACATGGCTGCTTGGTAACATGAATCATCTGTACCTTTAAATTCTATACTTTCAACACATCATATTTTGTGTGTATTCACAGGTTGCTCATGTAGGCCCTGACAATGTTTTTCTAGAGAACTTTCATTCTGGTTATTTGTTTTTTGCCATTTTGATATATGCATGTTTTGATACATTTCACATGAAATTATTCTGTGTCAGTTAAATTCAATAACTGTTGCATCTCCCTCTTTAAAAGGAACATACACGTGCCTAATTTGGTTCACAATCTCCCTGCCCCCTTTTTTATACTAAATCTGTTAATCTTATTTTAGGAGCTCCAAATGTTTGATCTCTGAGTGCATAATTTAGCTTTGCAGCAATCAAACAGCAATGTGTTTTGAAAACTATGGAAATGTGTTTACAACTAAGTCTTGTAAACCAGATTCTCAGGTGTTTTCCTACATTATTTTAAGATGACCAAAATTACGTAATTCAATAGAACACTGAAAATCACATACAACTGCTACAGTGCGCAGAAACATATGTACCTGAATATGATGATGAATAGGTTCACAATGCCATTCAAAAAAGAAAATCCATATTACGCTTTACCTTTATATATACAAAATATGTATGTGTCAGAAGCACTCCCTTGGTTAATAGCCGTGTCCCGGCTCTATATATTCAGGATAAGGGTGCTCAAATTGGCACAAGTGATATTCAAGGTTTACAGCATAATAAAATCACAATAAATAGCTCCATAGCCATACATCCTGAACAGATGAATCAGTCCTGGACAGGTCTTGTGGACATCTGAAAAAAATCATTGGTGCCTAGGAAAGAAAATTGTAGCTGCAACTGAGAGTTGAAGGGGTGGCCCATATTAACTTATTTTTCATGTATTAAAAGTGCTCTGTCACGGTCTGGGGACTTTGCATAGTTTGCAAAGACCCCCGATGGTGACATCGATGCTGGGGGGGAAGGCACCGCCATCCTCTTCCAGTGTCCTCATCCTCTTCTGCTCCTTCACTTCAGTGCCAGGAGTCAGCGTCACTGCTGTGCTCTCGCGCATGTGCAGTTGTACAGCATTGAGGTCTATGGAGAAGTTGTGCACCTATTCAACATTATAGAAGGAACATTACATTCATGTAGATATATTTCTGTGTGCTGTAATATTTTTATTTTTAGTATATTTTCACGTTCATTGTTGGAAGATTTAGGGGCAGCATTATGTTTGATATGGTGTAAATGTCAGTAGTTCACAAAGTCACCTAATACATTCTAAATTAGCACTGTCCTTTAGCCAGACCTTCCATAGAGTACAAATAAAGAACTTCTGGAATCAGGCTAAAATTAGGAACTGTACCTCCTATAAAGGGACAGCTAGAAAACAGCGAGTTTAGTTATATGTAGTTTGTGTTATGCCTTTGAATCTTTAGCGAGCTCATTCAGTGACTTAACACACCAGCTCTTACTCTTTAATATTACTAAATAATAAGACAGTCTTTATAGATCCAATTGCAGGGAATAAACTTACTAATACATGTAATAAGTCAAAACAAGTGTTACTAATATATTTGAAAATCTATATAGTTGAAAGTCTACATAGTACGATCCAAGCATTTCTATCCCTAGAAGGTAATAAAATTAATGATCAGTTATATATTGCGTTGCACTGCCTGGTATGAATAGTGTAATTAGTATGATTATATGACTCACCAGCAACTAGATTTAAGATTTACTATAATGTGTTAAGCCAGTCTTACCTTAGGCATATTTATTTTGAAACCCTATAACTTTCTTTACGGCCTTTAAAAAATGTAGATAAATATATACACGTTACCGAAAGTTATATATGTGCAGCTGAGGGCAGACAGACTACATTTAGACGGATATCACAATATAAACATGCTGCATACAAATTAGTTTGCATGAACAAAGATTTGGAATTCTTAAAAGGAAAGTTTTAGGACTTTTCTTTTAGAATAAGTTATTTTGTAAAATTACCTCTAAATAAATGTTAATACTATAAAAAAAAAAAATTTTTAAGCAGAATAATTATTTTCCATTTTTTTGTCCTATCAAAACCACTCAAATAGGCTTACATAAATACTGTATAACTCAACTTGTTCTAGAGCCCGGACTGCTTTTCTGCAGGCTCCAGCTCCTCCTTTAGTGATGTCAGTTCCCAAGCTGACATTGTATTGCTTCTCATAGAGAATAAATTTTTCCTTGGGTTGAAGGAGGAAAAACTGCAAATGGTTGCAGGGTTAAAGCTAAAGGACCACGGCACCCAGTGGTCTCGATCTTTGTGACTATAGCCTTTCTTTAAATGGGAACCATCACTTTTACAGAAATTGCACAATTCAGTAAAACATTGAAAACCACATCAGCTCATGTTTATGGCCCTCTGGAGTGGTTATGGTGTGAGTAGTTCCCAGGCAGCCTCCCAGAGTAAGAAGAAAACCTTACCAGGTGTCTGCCACCACCTCCCATGCTGCAGGAGAGTAATGCAAGGGGCTCCCAGTGAGCTCCTACTGTGCGGAGCTGTGCTCATTGGCTGAGTGTCTTAGCTGAGCAATCTTAGCCAATGAACATTGTACAACACGGCTGGGCTTAGCTCTGTTGCAGCAGCTTCCGTCAGCTGGGGAGGAGGGTGGCGATCCCCTACGAGACCCAGATAAATTATTAAACTACCCTTACGCTTTGACTACTTACTCTGGGAGGGCGCCTGAGTGTGCTGTAATAGTTATGGTGCTTGGAATATAACTTTATTAAATTATTAAAAATCCTGGTAAATGTCAGTTTCTCTTTCATTATGGATGAAGATTAAATGAACTTGAAATATTAAAATGTTAGAGAATGTAAAAGGTAATCCAGTGAAACGAATACATGTTCATTGTTTTTCAGACTCTATAAAGTTTCTATAAGAAACAGAATTGAATATACAATTATGCTGCTAGGCATGTGAAGTACTTTTAATGCTCAATCCATAACACAGGCACAATAAAATATATCCAGTTTTCCTTACTACCCATGTTTTTTTATGTGGTCTTTCCACAACTGGGAATTGTGGAGACAAAATAGCTAAGCTGGAAAAATAGCAATATTGGATATTTTTTTTCAATTTATTATTTAAGAGTGCCAGAATCGCATTGAAAACATTCAGGAATCTGTCCAAATGACATCTAGATAAAGGGAGGGATTTAATGATAAAATCTGTTATCTCTCAGGAATAGGGGAACTTTGAAAACAGGTGTAAAAAAAACAAAAAAAGAAAATCAAGTTTCATTTGAAAACAAGTTGAACGAGAGTGAGAACGCAGTCCTGAGAATGCTTTACCATATCAAAATGCATGGAATATCTCTCAGGATCGCAAGAAAACCCTAATGATTTCTTTTTGGGTAAGGCTACACACTTTGAGATAGTATTTTTATCTAGATAAACAAATTAAATTTAGAAAAGAACGCAATGACGTTTCATGAGATAATTGGTTATCATTCATTAAAAGTTGCTGCAGGATTGCTATACTGTAAAGGGATGTCTTCAGTGGAAATTGGTTAAACCTTAATTTTCAAGTGTATAAGTAACTTATTCCCCAGTTATATATTTGTTGCAAGTTAGTGTTGTATAATCTGAATATTTCGCTTTATTGCTGTATGTGTGTGTTTGTGTTCAATATACACACAAATACAAACATAAAACATTGGAAACAAATTTGAAAAGATGGTGAGTCTTTCAATCTCTTGTATCTATTTTATTGAGAGAGGGATTAATGACAGTTTTTTCTTTTTGTACCTCTAAATAAACATTCGAAACTACAAGCAGGCATCATATATGAATGTATGAATAATGACAATAATTTAACTGTAATTGCTATGCTATATATCAAAAAATCTATTTATACAATAGATAAGATCCCAGATAACTGACTATACTCGATAACCCAATGAAGCGTCCTAAGCATCTGAATTGTTTTGGGTAGTCGGAGTACTAAACCTCCTACTGCTGTCAGAACACTCTCTTATTCCAATGGAATAGTCTACTGACTTCCCTTTGACTATAATATTTATTACAAATGGCAATGGAGTCTGATGGGTCCAGGAGTTATTTTCTATTTTCTGGTACTTGAGAAACCAATGGATATATCCTGATAGTGTGTATTTCTTATGGTTTAAGATTAATAAGCAACTGCAGGCAAATAGACTTGAATAGAAGTATATCCTGTAAATATGTGCAGGCTGCCCACTCACTTCTAGTAATACGTTCACAAATGACCTGATCGCACATTTACCCTGATTTTAAAGGGACAGTAATCTGTAATGCACTTTTTAGATTTTAAAGAGACAGTAATCAGTAATGTACTTGTTGTGTTTGTTTATTCTATATATTATGCATTCACTGTAATATGCTGTGTTTTTTTTTTTTTTGGTTTTTTAAAAACCCTGTAGGCACAAATAACTTACATGACCCTGACTACCTGTAAAAAAAGGTCAAATCTAAAAAGACACTAATAGGTTATACAGGTGTAACAAGGGTTATGCAGTAATGATTCGCATAGCACGAAAACCCTTAAGCCTCTTCCAAAGATAAACTTTTTTAGATTTAGTGTCACAAAGGAATCATTTTTGAAAGAGAGTTTAAAGTAGTTTCACCTGCACCCATCATCATCATCACCAGCTTATTCCTTAATACGCCACTCAGTGCTAGACACAAATAGCTTACATGACCCTGACTACCTGTAAAAAAGGGTCAAATCTAAAAAGACACTAATAGGTTATACAGGTTCCTTAAAAGGAATCTATAGTTTTAGGAATAGAACTTTGTATTCTGTACACTATAGTGCCATTTGGTTCACCCCCACCACCCTCCCCCCTTCTCCATGAGCCCGCCTTTTAGTACGTAAAGGGTTAAAAAACCTTTATTTACTCACTAGACTTCTGCGCCGATCTCCCTCCGCTTCTTCAGACATCATCGACCTAATGAGATAGCACAGCGGTCCCTTTAATGTAAGTAACTTGGATGACTGCAGACAAGTGTTGGAATCTGCTTCAGAACACACCAGCTTATTCCTTAATACAGCACTCAGTGCTAGGCACAAATAGCTTACATGACCCTGACCACCTGTAAAAAAAGGTCAAATCTAAAAAGACACTAATAGGTTATACAGGTGTAACAAGGGTTATGCAGTAATGATTCGCATAGCACGAAAACCCTTAAGCCTCTTCCAAAGATAAACTTTTTTAGATTTAGTGTCACAAAGGAATCATTTTTGAAAGAGAGTTTAAAGTAGTTTCACCTGCACCCATCATCATCATCACCAGCTTATTCCTTAATACGCCACTCAGTGCTAGACACAAATAGCTTACATGACCCTGACTACCTGTAAAAAAGGGTCAAATCTAAAAAGACACTAATAGGTTATACAGGTTCCTTAAAAGGAATCTATAGTTTTAGGAATAGAACTTTGTATTCTGTACACTATAGTGCCATTTGGTTCACCCCCACCACCCTCCCCCCTTCTCCATGAGCCCGCCTTTTAGTACGTAAAGGGTTAAAAAACCTTTATTTACTCACTAGACTTCTGCGCCGATCTCCCTCCGCTTCTTCAGACATCATCGACCTAATGAGATAGCACAGCGGTCCCTTTAATGTAAGTAACTTGGATGACTGCAGACAAGTGTTGGAATCTGCTTCAGAACACACCAGCTTATTCCTTAATACAGCACTCAGTGCTAGGCACAAATAGCTTACATGACCCTGACCACCTGTAAAAAAAGGTCAAATCTAAAAAGACACTAATAGGTTATACAGGTGTAACAAGGGTTATGCAGTAATGATTCGCATAGCACGAAAACCCTTAAGCCTCTTCCAAAGATAAACTTTTTTAGATTTAGTGTCACAAAGGAATCATTTTTGAAAGAGAGTTTAAGGTGGTTTCACCTGCACCCATCATCATCATCGCACTGCTTTACTGGTGGGATTTGGGCAATAACACCACTAGCAAATGCACAAATTGCACTAGGTCAGATTTATAAATGGTAGTAAAATTTACCTGTGTACAGCTTTTAAACAAGGAAAATAAGGGGAACAATAAATTACCACGCCTTTTTTTGTTCTTAAAAAGGAATCTATAGTTTTAGGAATAGAACTTTGTATTCTCTACACTGTAGTGCCATTTGGACCCCCCTCCCCCCTTCCTCATGAGCCCGCCTTTTAGTACATAAAGGGTTAAAAAAACCTTTATCTACTCACTAGACTTCTGCGCCGATCTCCCTCCACTTCTTCAGATATCATCGACCTAATGAGATAGCACAGCGGTCACCGCACTTGATGTCCTCATGCAGAGGATAAGGATGTCTAACGTCACTTAAGTGACCCAGAGTCCAGTAAATAACCGGAAGCGCCTCTAGTGGCTGTCCGGTAGACAGCCACTATAGACTGTTTTAGCACTGCAATGTAGTCTACAAAACTGTAATGTTTACCTTCCAGGGCTAATGAGCTGAAGTGGTCTGGGTACCTGTTGTGTCCCTTTAATGTAAGTAACTTGGTTGACTGCAGACAAGTGTTGGAATCTGCTTCAGAACACCCCAGCTTATTCCTTAATGCACCACTCAGTGCTAAACATTGTTAACTGATCACATATGAGTTTGAACAAACGAAAAAAAACTAATCACAAAACTCAAAAAGAGTAGAGAAGTGAGTTTAACACCTAATGCATTGTGTAATGCAAACTGAGCTTAGTTTTCACAGGATGGAACCAGAACAAAGAATGAGCAACACAAACGCTCAGGGACACACCTGCAGATACAGTTAAAGACGAATAAAATGTGACAAAATGTATGTAATTAAGAGCAAACTAGTACCTTTGAGAGTTTGTAAAATAACACCCATGAAAAAGAGGACATGCGACTTATTAGAAATATTTGGTCAAAGAGGTTATGGGTCTTTTGGGTGTGAACTTTATAAAGAAACTGCAGAAGTCCGATTTATTTTTACATCTCTCTGTCGTGCAAGTCACCATGGTAAAATTTGTATTGTATTCAAAACCGTAAAAATGAAAGACCTCTATCATTCAGTGTAGGGGAAAACATGGCGTGTGTCTCTACCAGAAAGAAGGTCATGTACTGTGCACACAGTAATATCTTAACATACAGCTTGTTTCTACCTGGATACATTTTTTTATTAAAATCAAGTTCTTGTTTGTTGGGATTCTCAGAATTCTAAAGATTTTTCAATTCATGTTGGCATGGGGTTCTTGGGAAGTCCCTGGTGACTGAGTGACAATATTGAAAGGTCAATATCCCTTAATTTGCTTCTATTTTCATGGTGTTTTCCTCTTTGTCTTGCAGTGGATTTGAGTGTCCCAGTCAGCACAATCCTGACTTCTGCGACCCCCATGGATTTCCAACTCGTTTCACACCTCAGCCAGCGCCCAGATACGGCAATCCTTAATATGAAGCCAACCCAACAGCCTCTCTTCCAAACCCTCTCTCAGCAACACCAGCAAATGGAGCACAAGATGCGGGTACTTTTCATTTTAATTTTACATTCTTGGCAATAGTCACATGATTAAAAGTCACATTTAAATGTTTTAGTACAGAACAGCATAGTGATCTAAATAGTAAATATCATCAATGGTATCAAAATGAATCTGGAAGAATTCCAATGGCAAGTGCTAAGTTTGAAGCAATCAGAATAAACATGTTGTTGCTTTTAATGGACAATGTCTACAGCCATTGCTATATATTTTAGTAGATTATCATACTTTTACTCTGAATTTAAGCATCGTGGTAGTTTTCCGTCTAAAAGTCTTATTAAGCAAACTAGAACTGGCTCAAAATGGATGGTAGAACTGGCTCAAAATGGATGGAGTGCTAAGCCTGAAGGAATCAGTTTAATTATAGCCTTGTTTTCTGTGTAATTTGGTTGCTAATATAGAATGCATGAACATTAAATCATTGTGACAAAGTTACACAAAGTGGTTCTCAGGTTCTTCACCTGATGGAATAGGCCCCATGTGTAGGCAACCTTGGCAATCCAGATGTTGTGAACTTCATCTACCATAATGCTGTTACAACCATAATGCTAGCAAAGCATCAAGGGAGATGTAGTCCACAGCATCTGGAGTGCCGAAGGTGGCCTACCCATGGAATAGGGCACATTGAGAAGAACTTTACCATTCGGTTACGTTTAGAATGGAGTCCCATGTACACATGGTCACCTTAGAGTTTCTGTATGATTTAATTTATGTGATAGTGTCATGACTGGTTAATTATAAGCTGATTTCGTAGCTTAAACACAGCTTTATACACAAACATGTTCTAGATATGAGATTACACTGCTAACATCTCAATGATATGTTTCTATCATATCACATAGCATGCGGATTATAAATCATTGAATTAAAATTCTAAAATTCCTTATAATAACATAGTTCTATAATCTTGTCTCCGTTTTATCCAATAACAGCTGAGCGTGGAGGCAGCTTGCCGAAATGCAGAGCATGCTCGCCAGGAATCAAGCTTACGCCAACTTGTGAACAAAGACAAAAGCAAATGCAGTAAGAACACGGCTCCCTATGTGGTTCTATACACTGAGAATCAAGCCAGCCCTTGTTGCTTTAATGGCAAAGAACTCGCAATTACTTGACCCTTTTCAAATTAGGAGAGCATTACACCAAGTACCAATATCATTAAAATATACTGCAAAATACACTTTAATGGGAAGCACTGAAAGTGCCCATTGATTTCACAAGCTTTATTGTAACTACACTTCAACTTAAGTTGATCACTATTGTGATCAGTGAAAAACTTTCGAGACATGTTTATTGCAATATTTTACAAAATGTCTGGTAATTTTCCCTCTGTAGAGATTACAGTGTAGAGAAATGTTTTAATGCAACACAAGGGCGCCATCTAGTGTTCATGAATAATACACATCCCTACATTAAACGATGTGTAAGCAACTTGATCATAAACCATACTAAGCTGCCTTCTGACTCATTGCAATGAGTGGATTCTTTTATTTCGTATAGGTTTGGCCATTTAACAGCAATGTATTACCAATTTCTGTTTATACATTTCTTATGGGAATGGAATATAAATCCAAGACCTATTCATAGGGTTGAGAGGGGTGTTGAGAAGAGTACCACAGTCAGGTGCACTAGTGTCCTCTTTTGGGAGAAAATGTTTTTATAAATTAATTCTTAAACATGGATTTAAAACAAGAAATGCAGGTGATTCTGATAGTGTATTTTAAAATGCACTAATTAAAGAAACACTCTGCAGATATGCAGATGAGAGGGTATATGATAACATTATACAAATATATTTGGGGCCAATACAAAACCATGGTGTGGAAATCTATTCACAAACCGGACTTTACATAGGACACGAGGTCATGCGTTTAAACTGGAAGAAAGAAGATTTTGTCTAAGGCAAAGGAAAGGTTTTTTTTTCTGTAAGAACAATAAGGATATGGAATTCTCTGCCTGAAGAAGTGGTTTTATCAGAGTCCATACAGATGTTCAAACAGCTACTAGATGCATACTTGCAAAAACAGAATATTCAAGGATATAATCTTTCAATGTAGGGTAATAACTGCTTGATCCAAGGATAAATCTGACTGCCATTTTGGGGTCAAGAAAGATTTTTCTTCCTAGCTTGTTGCAAAATTGTAAGTGCTTCAAACTGGGTTTTTTGCCTTCTTTTGGATCAACAGCAAAAAACAAATGTGAGGAAGGCTGAACTTGATGGACGCAAGTCTCTTTTCAGCTATGTAACTCTGTAACTATGTAAGATATAGTATATACAGCTACTGAATGTGCTCTCTTGCAACGCTAACTTTCTGTGGCTGCCCGATCACAGACATTGTGCTCTGATTTAAATAAAAATCTGGACCTTTTTATAAATTGAAAACAAAAGTGGACACACTTCACAGCTGAAGTGCTTGAGGTGTTTGCGGTTTTCCCTTACACTAGGATATTGTATTCTCTATATTTCATCAAATGTCTCTTTTCATATATACATGTGACTGCTTACCTTTTCTATGTAACTTTTTTCGACTAGTTCATCATAATGTTTTGTTAGCTCTATTATTAATATTGGTGTATTCTTTTCTACTGTTCTCTTGGTTTTGTGCGTTCTGTGATCTTGTCTATAGTTAGTTGGTATCTGTTTGTATGTGTCCATTTGTTTAGTCCCATTAATAATGATAATGTAATGTTTTTATCTAGGTGCCATGGCCAGTCCTGCAGTTAAGCAGAAGCTGCTGGAGATGATTCGCAATAAACAGCAGGTGGCGCCAGATCGCAATAACGTTACCAATCACAGCTCAAACACAACTATGCTTTACAGGTAAGTTACAACCAAAAGAACAAGCCACGCATCATTTCTTTATCTACCCATACAGTTTGCTAATATAATGTAAACATTCTTTTATTGTCATCTTTTTCAGGCCCCCTGAGATTGAAACACATCAACCTCCTATTGTGAATAATTTCATTCCTCAAGTGACTGCCCGCAGCTGCAATCCTTCAGAGCATTTTCCTCTCCGGAGGACAGGTGGGACCTTCTTCTGAAATAGTCTTTCTGTATTGGGTGTTGGGATCCATTGCATTCGGGAATAAAAAACAATGTGGTGGTGGCACCTGTGTTGCCCTGTAATATACCCACTTACATATGGGATCACGACTACTATTAAAATTCTGATGGACTTTAACAAAGTTCTCTCTTTCTCTGAGAATCTGTAATTTAGTTTCAGTAATGTATAATAAGTACAGAAGGAAGATTACCTGGTTGCTTAAAATGTGTTATGGAGGGTGGAGGATGTTTAGTTAACACATTGTACTAGAAAGGCCAAGGCTCAACATGCAAATTTAGTTAATTCTAGAATATTGTGAGCCCTGAGCACTATCTGCTCTGGACTCAGGGTGGGCTTTATTCACCTTCAGGGTTGTTTGGGTTCCGTATCCAGAATTCCTCCTGCCATTTGACTGGTGGCTAAGCAGTGCTCCATTTATGTATGCAACGAATAGACTAAGGATTAGGGCAAACCCTCTTTATGTAGGAGTTCCATTGCTACGCTTTGTATCATTTCATGTTAGCGCTTCATAAATGAAAACGAGCACTGGCCTTTATTTCCTATGCAGCCTCTGAGCCTAACCTGAAGTGGCCCTGCAGGCCCAAGAAGTCTGGAAGGAAAAACCCATTAACCCGCAAGGAAAGCGCTCCACCTGCAGTCAGAAGGAGACCCCTAGAGACCCAGGGTGGGTATATTACATTTGAATGAGCCCTTGGTTCCAAATTTAACTCACAACATTTATTCTGCCAGGTTCTCATTACTAGCACTTCTAGATTAGTCACATATTAGATTACGTTTTGGGAAACATGGCATTATGTAGTTAGAAACCTCTATAACGTATGCTTAAATAGTCTGTTATTTTTATTATATTATTACTTAAAAATTCCACTTTAAAACTATTGTTGAAGTTGTTATGGTGTTTATTGGGTCGTTATAAATGCTTTTCTAAATATTCACTTATGAAAGCACCTGAAATGGCAAAAGTTACTGTTTCAGGGGCACATCAATGGTGATTACATTAAAAGGAGGCCATCTCAGATTCACATAGTTCACATAGAATCCATAGTTTGTTTTGTATTAATACACTAAGTTTCTAGAGCTGACTTTACGATATACTTCTGTTCTGTGTGTTATACTACAATCTCTTTAAAAAACTTTTTTTTAAAAACCAGAACAAAATAACAAAACTGATTTGTGCTAGGCTAGATAATAAATATGTACTAGATTTACTTTATATTAACGCTGAGTGAAGAACCCTTTAATATTCTATTTCATTAGCAACTAGGATAAATTACATTTGCAAAAAAATGGTTAAATTGGATTATATTAAAAAAAATGCAATTCAGTTGAACTGGGGATTTATTTTCCACTTTGTTTTTGTTTAAATATTGCAACACAGAAATCATCTATGTGCATCTCTCTTATCATTCTATAGTGAATGAAAATAATACTTTGCTAAATCTGTTCTTACAAATGCATGTCCACGTGGCCTTGTTCTTTTCTATTGCTATCACAGTCTTTCTGTTCCCTTTGCAGACTCTTCACCGAGCAGTAGCAGTACCCCGGTGTCTGGCTGCAGTTCACCAAATGATAGCATTCCGGCTGAAAATGGAAGTCTTTCATCCATCCCAGGAGCTGCCTCGGAGGTAATTTAGACATTGTCATTGTACATTTTGGTAAAAACTTAAATAATTTCCTGTAGTCTTCAAACAGCCCAGATCAAACTTATTCTAAGCTGAACGAGTAAAAAAATAAAACATATCTTGTGATCCATGGACTCTGCCATATGCTTCTTTAGTTTAGTGATAATTTCACTTAGTACGTTAATGGCTTTTTATTGCATTTTATTGGAAATGTGCAGATGTAGAAGATGAAGTTATTGGCCATTTAGTCACTTATTTCCTGGTATCATATGGCAATACATTTTCAAATAACCTATGGGCCACTGCTATTTTCCTGATCTTCAAGTTTTTTGTTTTTTTATGACATATACTTGCATATAAGATGTAAACCTATTTTTCACAATGTCAAATGAGATACAGCATTGGCGTATTACTGACCCCTGTGTCTTCCTCGTTGATGTACCTTAACCTGATTAAAACCCAAATCTATCCTCATATCGCCGTTCAGCTTTATTTTATCGTATTGGAACAGTGCTCTGCTTAAAGGGACACTATAGGCACCAAAACGTCTTTAGCTTAATGAAGCAGTTTTACTGTATAGGTCATGCCACTGCTGAATTATATGTCAATTAGGAGTTAAATCACTTTTGTTTCTGTTTATGCAGCCATTGCCACACCTCCCCTGGTTGTGACTGACACAGCCTGCATGGAAACAAAATGGTTTAATTTTCAATCAGATGTTAATTTGCTTTAGAAGATTATCTCTCCTGCTCTGTAAATTGAACTTAAATCACACACAGGGGGCTCATAGATGGTCTAAAAAGCTATTTACAGAGCAGGAGATAAGAAATTCTAAATTAAACAGAAATTGCAATAAAGGAAGTGTGAACATTAGATGACTCTGTACAGGAAGTATTGAGAAAGGCTAATCGCATGCAGGATGGCATGACTATGGCTGCATAAACAAAGTGCTTTAACGCCTAAATGGCAGGGAATTGAGTGGTGAGACTGCAGGGGCATAACCTATACATCAAAACTACTAAATTAAGCTAAAGTTGTTTTGATGCCTATAGTGTGCCTATAACGCTTCCTCTAGATTATTCTCCTTTCACCATATTTTATTTCCAAAATCAGCTAAAAAAAGACCTCTATGTTCTTCCTTTGTAACATTGAAATTGTCTATCCATTTGTCAACATCCTCCTTCATAACATTAGGGATCTCCAGTTCTCATCAGCATATTCCATTGATTGTAAATGCTCCATATTCTTTGTTGATAATGCATATTTTTGTGCTCTGGTATCTTCCACTATATATAATATCTAGAAAAATATTTTCTTTTCATCTGCCCTATCACCAGTGTGTCCTACCACAATTTGGCAAACTTAAACACTGCACAACTTCAGAGTCAGAGTCTGACAACATCATTTAAATAAACGGGTTCCTTAACATTAAAAACCAAAGAAAAAAGTTATTTTTTCCCAAAACCCTACGCACATTTAAATAACTGGATTTTTTTTTAGTTTCTAGTGATATCAACAAGCCTCCAGTTATTTAAATGTGCGTAAGAATTTTGGATAGTGCACATGTACCTGTTTTCTTTGGGGGTTTTTTGTATGTATTGGGGCTGATGTGTGCTATATTCATTGCTGCTGGTCAGGAGTAGTGGGAGTTTGAGTGCAGAGTTTAATTTTGTATGTTTGTATTTGCTTTCTTAACATGTTTGTCTAACAGAACCATTAAGACTGCACTTCCTCTTGCTCTTATATGCAGGAGCAATAGGCAGAAGCAGAGACTTCCAGTCCGAATGAATACATATTAATAGTACACATTAATCCATGTAACTGCTGCACTTATTTACCTCCCCTCTATTATAACACTTTCATTAGTTGTAAAGCTCTAAGTTTATATGATCAACTTTCTAAACATATGTAACCTTAAATATTTTTCTGTTGAAATTTGACTATCACAAGGTGGTTATACTTTGTGCTTTTGTTTGTACAACTGTTTTGAATATTTTATTGGGTGATGGTTTGTGTAGGCCTCAGCAATATTTATAATTTGTTATATGTGGGTTTGTTTGGTACAATAAATGAGTATTTTGGGACTTCTTTTTCTAACAGTATGTTTGCTATCGTCAATAAACAGGGAGATATAGAACGGAGGACATTATCTGGTATGGTACATGTCCCACTTGTGACGCATCCCACCGTCTTCATGTCATCGGGTATAGAGGGCCATGACGGTACCAACTCTTTGGCAGCTCGTTTGCAGCCAGTAATCATCCTAGAATCCTCAGGAACTCGTACACCTTTAGTGGCAGGTAGGTACTTTAGAATTTAAACTACTACTTAATGGCAGTAGCTGTGGCCGTGTGCTGTGTTCTGCAGTATGGTGAAGAATGTTCTCAAAGAAACACAAATATTTGCCAATGAAAACACTAAATGTATAAAGTTTTTATTTTTGAACAGAATGTTACTCCTTCCTTCTAGAAAAAATGTTTACGAGAAATAAGCTACATTTTTTTGAAGTTTTGTTCGGCAGATGCCTTGTCATTTATGTATTTTATCACCCAAATGTATAATTTCTCACTTGTCTTATCCTGTTTTCTGTAAAAAGAGGATTTAATATCAGCTGTAGAAGGGTTTCACTAACCACTCCTTTGCATTACACAAGATCGCACATTTTCTGATGATTTTTCTGCTTGGCTGGCCCCAATACATTAATTTGCCTTCTTTATTTAGTAATATGTAAAATATATGTAATACAGTCAGTCTCAAAATCTAAAATACAAATAAGTAAAAGAACACTATTTAAAAAGTCATTTTCATTTGTGGTTCAGGTTAGTTAAGCTCACTAATAACATTTAAAATATGTAGGGTATATGTGAAATGAGATAGAAAGGGATAAAAATAAATACTCGTGAAGTTTATCCAGGCATTAAGTACATGAAACTCTCAGTTTCTATAATTGATTTCTTGTGTATAAGCCAAGTATATTTTTTTACAATGTCTGGAACAAGGAATTGCCATTGTAAAAATAAAAAAATCTACTGCCATCTTGTGGTTACTGTAAACATAGCAACATTGCACTTCATACTATAGTGTCTTAAGCTTTGATTTGGTTTCATTAACAGTTCCAGACCAGGGTTACAGGACTTAACATTTTGTTTTTCTTGAAGAAATTAATATTGAAACAGGTTTGCAGCCAACTGTTAATTGTGATTGTAATGTGTACAGGGGATAATATTTCCCATTATTTCTGTTTCAGTTCAAAGTCTAGGTTCAGTGCCTTTTCAGATCTCTCCCTCCCTTCTAAGCAATCACTCATCAGTTCTTGGACACCACAAGGCATTAAGCAGAACCCGTTCTGAACCAATTCCTCAAAATCAGAAGACACTTCAACAGCAATTGCTCTATCAACCGCAATACCCAATGTACACTGAACATTTAAAACAGCGGCAGTTTAACAAGGTAAAGTTTACTGAAAAAGCCATGCTTGTGTGTTTTAGGCAATATGGTTTTTTTTTTACTTTGTTGTGGGGGTTTTAAGTCCTAAATTATTTGTGTTTATGAATAGTGTTCCATGTCTAGTCGGTGGGACTGGTTCGCTAACTTTGTGTTCTGAACTCACATGTCTAAACTTTATGTTGATGAATTGCATCTTTTATCTGTATCTAGCTAGTTAACATGGGAAAGGATGGAACAACCCCTACTGAATATAGAGATGAGGGATAAACTGCCAGAAACAATGTACATTTTAGAGTTATAAACAAATGCCTTTATTTAGGAACAATTAATGGTTTGACAACTGTCAATTGTTCCACACTAATTAAGTAAATTAGGTCTCGAAATATGATTCTAACAAACCCTATGTCTATATAAAAGCAGTGTTGGAACAGATAGCACCTTCAAGCACAACCCAACATTGTTTAAAGCAGGTAACACTTTCAACTGTGAAGAGAAGACTTATGTTGCCAAGATGGCAAAATGTGAATAAGAGACTTGCCTGGAAAAATGTATTTTCTCTATCACACAGAGTTTTTGTATTGCATTGAGAAGTTGAAAGGATGGTTAATCATAATGTGACATCACTGTCAAACACGGAGGGGGTGTTATGGTCTCTTGAACCTATGAGCTGGCTATTTGCATAGAGTGAGTGGCAATCTGAGTCAAAAAGACTTATGCAGTAATCTCAGGTGCTTAGCCTCTAGTTTGTTGTAAATCAAGATATACCTCCAGGCTGTGTCACAACTCCCTTAAGCTCCAAAACATGGAAGGGGCAGCACAACTGAGCTGACATTTTTATGGGGGATGTAGTATTCTTTTAAACCGCTTACATTTCTATAATTACTGGGAAACATTAGGTGTTCTAAAACGAGATTATCACAGTATCCAATTCTTTTTAAAGCTGTACTTGATGGGTATGTTTTGTTTTATTAAACCAACTTCCGTGTCATAAAAGTGCCAAAATTCACATTGAACTGAGCAACTGTGTTACGCACCTAGCAGATATATGAATGTATGATTTTACCCTGGACAATAGTAGGGGATCCCAAACCATTTTTATTTATTCAAACATATATTTTATTATTCAAACAACAGCATAGTGGTACAAATGATTCAGTAAGGAAATATATAAAGATCACTTAGCTGCCAATACTGGAGTTTAATTCCTTAAGAAAGGAGTTGTGGAGAAGGGTAGAGAGGGTGTGGGAGGAGGGCAAAGGGGAAAGTTGAAGAAAAAAACAGGATAATCTAAAGAACTATTACTGCATCACTTATAAGAATGTCCAGGTGGGTCATATACAATATTCCTGCAAGAGTCCCTCCTTAACTTCTCAATGTCAACAAAGCCATAGTTAAAAAAGTGTTGAGCCATGATGACCACATTTTATGTACATATTTATATGTCCTATACTTGTGAGTTTGTCTGTGGACAATATGTTTTATATTTTACCATCTATCTGGGCTTTGTGTAGGAATTGAGACTTCCAGGTTCTTGACAGGTTAACCTGACAAACATCTAATATACATTTATTGGTACAACCCATTTATTTTATTCCATGTCTTTTATTTTAACCCAGATATTTTTGAGACAAAGTAAACATTGAGGGTTAGCTATAGCATTTTCCATGAACATCTATATCTGATATAATCCCTATTCTTATTTTCTTGGTGTCCAAGATCAAATGTAATGAGCGAGGCTTGTAAGTAATCTTTTTGACATGGATCTGTTCTGTTTGTTCATTGCAGCGTCTGTCAAAAACCAGTGAGAGACCAAGGTTAAGCCAGATCCCATCAGAGGAGCTTGATGACAGTGGAGCTGCAAGCGAGAGGCCTTCAGAGGTAGGAGGAAACTCTCTGAGAGGGCATGGCGAGTCCTTGAGAGGTGGTCTGCACGATACGCACAGCTCCAGCCATTCAGTGGTTCAGCAACAACATTATCTACCGCAGGTACAAACAGCCTTTCAGGCCTATCATGCAGCCACGAACTGGCTCCTTCCAAACAGGCAATCTTGTGTCCAGTTAGGAAAGTGCAGTTTGTGGGCTATGTAAATAAATGATAATATATGATGGCAAGTCAATTCTACACAATATATTGTGGCAAATGTGATGTCAATAAAAAGCAAAAGGCATACAGGGTTATTAACTAAGGTTAGAACCCAAAGGGAATTAAATTATAGTGCCAGAGTAGCTGAACTGACGTGGATAATTTTTGTTGACCGTAAATTTTAAATTCACTTTGAATTCACATTGAATTCTCACTTTAGTGAATAACCTTGGAAGGTTCAAACAGAAACAATCGGAAAATTAACATACACCAATTAACAAAAATCTGGAGTTAATGAAGTGTAGCAGTCAGGAATAACTGTATATCTGTTTTATTTTTAATTCCTTGTGTTTACTTTTTTTCTTCATTAATACATTTGTATTTGTGAGAGATGGAAAATAAAGCTAAATGTAGAAATCGATACCCATTTATCCTGGAACTGGGTTCTTAAAAAAATGAGCTCCTTGTCAATCATTGTCACAAGCTCTGTCCTCTGCACTTGGCAGTCAGCATAGAGAAGAGGAATAAAACAATATTTCTATTTATCCTTTTTATTTGCACTATGTTTCCTGTCTGAACTGATCTGAATTGTGATGTCCAATGCTAAATCTTTAATATTCATTTTAACAAAAATGTTAACCTATTTTCAATAATTTATTCACTGGTGCAATTTTCAGAGAGGTGGCCGTTCCTCTTTATTGTACTAATTTTAATTATAGGGCTATTCTTTCAGTGTTGCAGGAATATATATACTCTGAATACACAATAATATGTCTCTCTATATGTCTGAAAAATGTAATATTAACTCATCTCTGATTTATGAGGAATGTATGATTATTCTCTTCCTTTCAGACATGCGGATGGGATCAGAGTCACCATCGCAACCTCCAACAGTTGAAAAGGTCTGCACCACTTGACACTCTCATGATACCACTTCAGCAAGGCACACATCGCCCTCTATCAAGGGCAAAGTCTTCTCCAGCTTCAGCCTCCTTACCAACTCCAGATCCCTCTTCTAAAACAATATCACTAGCTGTGCCAGAACAGGCTACCAAGCCCCGCTTTACTACAGGTAACTCAAGTGTTTACAGCCGACCTCTGCCTTCCTATAGCCAAACCAAGTATGTCACTGGATTACCGGGATATTGCTCTCTATTCAGATTTCCTCTTATCTTCATAACTACACCAAACTGTATCAAAATGGGATACACAGTGCAAAGCAAGAGTTTTATTCACAGCCTTTTTTTTTTAATTACAGTGTTTATCTACCAGTTTCTACAAAAGTACCAAAAGTGTCCAATATTTCAGCCATTTTCTTCAAATGTAAACCTATCAATTAACAAGTACCTGTAATATTAAAATTTAAGTGGCTCGTTGACTTCATTGAAAGTACCACAAGCGTCAAACATACCACAAATTCAGAAACTATCTTGTGCTAAAGCTAATGTGGCCAGATCATTCCTTTACTTAAATATGTTTCAGACCTGTTAATGGAAAATGTGTATTGGATTCAGAATTCCATTAATGTACGTGGAGGCCTGCAAAATGCATCTTTTCTAAACAGTCATATAGCAGCCTATGTATCCTATGTCTACTATTCAGTGTTTGCCCACAAGCTGGCAAAGCACTATGGGATTTTCAGTTCTACAGTACCTGGAAGGCACCATTTGTGCCTTATGGTGAAAGGCTTCATTGGCAGAGAGGACTACATGCTCTTAAAGTGACGCACCAAGCCTCATATGCACAAAAATGTATTATGGTACGTGTAGTGCCAGCAAGCACCATTAGTCCCTATTATTATGTTAACATTGATTATGTAAGTAATTTCTTAATTTAAATGCACTATTGTTCAACTCAACCTCTGAAGATTCTAAATTAGAACTTTTACAGTATAAGTAATTCGGAATTAGAACCTACGTATAATATATGTATGTTTTCATGTACAATAAATTAAAAAATCATTAAAATTCCATTGTAGACCACTTTTCTACTAATTACTGACACGTCAAACTGTGGATGGTCCTTCAAATCACAAAGGTGTTTTAAAAAAATGAATCCAGGTTTTGTAACTTGTCATCATCATCATCATGTGTTTTTCTGTGAGACGAATTGAGGACTTCTGTGCACAGGTCTAACATCTTGTCCTTTCCCCTCCGGTCAGGAATTGTGTATGATTCAGTTATGCTAAAGCATCAGTGCACCTGTGGAGACAACAGCAACCACCCAGAGCATGCTGGGAGAATCCAAAGTATCTGGTCCCGCCTGCAAGAGAGGGGATTGCGCAATCATTGTGAAGTACGTATAGCCACTATCAAAGGTCAATGGATTAGTAAAATAAAAAGTAACTATAAAAAATATAGTTACTTAATCTTGAACCTCATGGACTTGTCTATTCTTTAAAGTTCTTTCGGAATAATCTTTGTTGCCGAATGTCTCACTAAGATACATTTTCTTGTGGTTTCTCCTCTTTCTGTCACAGTATATCCGGGGAAGGAAGGCATCCCTCGAGGAACTGCAGTCTGTACACACAGAGACTCACGTACTGCTCTATGGAACCAATCCTCTGAACAGACTGAAACTGGACAACCGCAAGCTGGCAGGTATACCTGAGTGTCTTATCGTACCGACAATACAAGCCAGAGGTGTTAGCAAAACAATGTGATACTTCAAAAGCTGTGCAATAATTTCACATGTTTCCATTTCACCATACCAGACATATGCTATTCATTTCATGGAGAAAAAAAATCAATTTATAAAGAACTAAATACCAGCACAGTTTTTTGTTGTTGCTTTTTTTACTGTTGTGATAGGAAAACAATTCATTAACAATGCTAAAACCTTTTAATTTTTTACAATCCGCTTACAGTTTCACTGTGGCTTTCCACTGCCCTCTAGTGGACATCAGTAACACTGCATCTAATATCTATTTTGTTCAACTAACTCTGGTTTCATGTTTTATTAGTTTATATATTTAAGAAATAAAAGATCTGCCTAGCAAAAAATATAATAAGATTCTGTATTTATATTATGAACTTTGTTTTGCTTCTAAGCGAATTAACCTTTTGATTTTAATATTTCCTATTTGATTTTTGAAATAACTTGTGCAATGTGCAATGTATAAATGTAAGGGTAGAATTAAAAAAAATAACAGGCAGACAATCTAGCACTTGCGGTCATAGATTGTGGTGCATTGCAAATTGTTGTTTCAAAATGTTGTTTGGATCATGTAACGAGTGGAGCTAACTCTCTTACTTCTGGGTATAAAAGATAAATTGAGGCATCCCTATGAATGTGTAGATAAAATCTTTTTTATAGAATTTGTTGTTAGTTTCCAGAAGCATTATATTAGCTTATCAGGATGCTTTTTCCTGACATGGGCCTTTTGTTCTTTTTTACCTACAGTATGTTGTTGAGAAATGAACGTAAATGTGCATTATATTATCAGTTTAGATGTAGTAATCCCTTTAAATCTATTAATAAGCACAGCATAGATGTTAATTAAAATGAATAAACACACCAACATACTCTTCAGACACAGCAGAAACAAAAGAATCATTAACTATAGAACAGAAACAAGTGTTTTTTTCTTTAGAGCTTTGCATTATTCTTGCAATATAGTAAAAGATGTTCTGTATGCGCATTATATTTTGTTTTGGCAGATTCAAATGACACATTTATATATATATAAATGTGGAAATCCTGTCAATTATATGCAATAATTAAATGAATAAATATCTTAAAATGGAAGTCAAAGTCAAACTACACTTAGTACATATTGGCTTCTGTAGGGTTACATATTATGATCTATGGGTACACATTATATACCTCGGGTTTTTTCCCTACATGTTGGTGTGGTGATTCATGGAATCTGTTTAGTAAATGGTTTCACAGCTAACTTGCATACTTTTTGTTGAATGCCTGAACTGAGGGAAATATTAAATAAACTCGGAAACTAGTAGGTCTTCTTATTACGAACCAATTAATTCATATTTGAGAGAATAAAAATATAAACTAGAGTTGATGATGTAAAAACTGATTTCTATATAAGAACTATATATAAACATGTGGTTGTTATTTATGCAATAGGGGTGTCAGTCCATGTGAGGATTTAGCAAGGTTGTTTAATCAGTTAAAATGTCTTTATCATTGAACTGGATGCTTGTTTCTTTTCAGGCATCTTGGCTCAGAGAATGTTTGTGATGCTGCCTTGCGGAGGGCTTGGGGTATGTACAAACATAGGATTTGCTTCCTACCTCCAATTACGTATCACCATGTTCCTATACACACACCTCCTAAACACACAACTTCTCACTATCCCCTTCATACTAAAACATCTCACCTTCCTATAGACATACACCACTAAGAAGACTTACGTGTCCCACCATCACCTACATACGAATACATCTCTCCTTGCTCCTACAGACGTACACATTCATAACGCATTCATACAAATTAAAAGGATAATTTTCCTAAACCCGTTACCTCTTATAATGTCTTACATATATACACTTCTCAACATATTCCTACATTCGTACATGTTTGACCAAGTGTTTATTACAATATTTCTAAAAACACATACCCTCTCACTATGTCTCTACATACGTATACATCCATCTGTCTGTGTTCTTGCACAGAACAAAATAGAAAAAAATAGAGGCTGCGCAAATAGTTGCTGTGTGCACAAAACAAGATGCTACTACTATTTATTTGAAGGAAAAACAAAAAACGTCTTGGGGTAATCCCTTTTTCAATCCATCTTATCCCTATGTTCTTGCACACGGACACAAAGCACGTTCCCATGTATCGCTCTCCAAGAAGCTTCCATCAAACATGACATGTTCACGGCACAAAATATATTCTTATTGCCTTTAACCCCTTAAGGACACATGACATGTGTGACATGTCATGATTCCCTTTTATTCCAGAAGTTTGGTCCTTAAGGGGTTAAATGCTTTTTTCAGTAATATATCAACCCCAAGCATTTCTTATTTGATATTTCATATCCTGATAAGAATTGCAATGTGCAGTCATCGATTTGCATAGTAACAGCTCATGTAATATTGAAGATGCAGATGTCATATACAATTGCCCATAGGGATATCATACAGGCAGGTATTGCTGCCTTTTATCCCACACCAGGGATGTACATACTTCTGTAATACTATTTTTTTTCATTTAAATGAAATATGAAAGAGAATATTTCTCTTTCTGAAAACCTTTTTAGTACATGCTTCAAGGGGGCATAGTTTGGATGTATTTCAAAACATTCCAGCTACAGATACCTTACACTCATGCTCTCTACAATGAGGAAAGGGGATGCTGTGGTCAATGACACCTCAAAAGGTTGGTGAAACTTCTTTTTAACATAAGCCCCAAAAGTGAGTCGCCCAACTTCAGCATGGTGCCAGGTCATCTAAACCTCAGGGGATGATTGAGTTAAGGCCTCACACATGGGTTTGATTATCCCAGAATCCCCCAGGTTTTTCCGTGTCTCCTTTGTTATTTTCCTGGCTCTGACGCGACCCTGATGAAAACAAGATGTTTCACGGGAAATGAAAGAAGAAGAAGAAGAAGAAAAAAAAAAGATAAAATAAATTCCTTTCCAGTGCGTTTATTCCTAAAAACAAACCATAATTGAGATCAGAGGCACGAGCAGGCACAGGCTTTTGGGCTGCAGACTCACCCCAAATCATTAAGTGTTTTATTCATATATACTTCAAGTACTGACATTGTGCTCAAATTCTCTGGTAATTCATTGAGAATGCACAAGACTGTGATAACTCTGATTTTGATGAAGACCTTTTCACCATTATACATGCTCTATTTAACCTTGGCCTTCTAGCTGTACTCGTAGTAGAATAACCATATGTTTCTGCTAGCCAGTGTCCCCATTTTAGTAGCCCTCCCTTGTCCTCACAGTTAATTCATGTTCTTCTAGAGATGTGGTCTCCAATCTAGAACTCTTAATGAGCTCAACAATTTGTACTGGCAATACCTTTAACTTTAAAGCTTAATATACTTTTTTGCAATTCTTGCTGCCGTTACAATCTAGACACCTTTTCTGAAATCAAAGGCAAATCGCAAGCTGTGGAATTTTATAGGTGGTTATCAAATATCATGAACAGTGTACACTTGCATTAGTATAAACATTGGGTCATTTGTATGTTTGTAACATTCCTGCCAAACACAGCACATAAAATAGTAATATTCAGATAACCTTTGTAGACACAGACTTCATTAAAGGACCAGTTATTCCAGATATACCTTGTATTCTTATCAACTTATTTTTGTGTTTAGGTTGACAGTGACACCATTTGGAATGAGCTTCATTCATCAAATGCAGCTCGATGGGCAGCTGGTAGCGTGATTGACTTGTCCTTTAAAGTTGTTAACCGTGAATTGAAGGTAAAAAATATGAAGCAGTAGCAAGTGATTTATCTGTTTCAAAACAAACTTTCTCAGTCCTTCATCATAGAGATATTGTTGTGGTACATGAATTGCCAGCCAATCATTAAAAAAAATGGGGTGACAAACACTATGCCTATTTATTTAGGGTTCTCCTTTTCCAATTTGCCTTTAGATGAAATGAAATTAGAAGATTACCGCACACTTTTACTGATTTCAACCCTGCATTTAATGCAGTTTACAAACAGCCTTTAAAAAGTAAATGGCGTGGTTAACGTTTTGGAGCAAAAATTTCTTAAATATATGAAACCTGAAGAAATAATTAATAATAACAAACACATTACCGAAACAAAAGAATAAGGATTTTATTAATGTGTTAAAACATGTTAGATTTTTTTTTCTTGCATGTCTTTCATTTTTACTGTTCAAAAGAGCAGTAAAAATGTGCACAGTCTTAAACATACTTTGCAATAGCTGTTTACCTTCATTATTTACATGTAGATAGATGGATGGAGAGATTGATTGTATTTTGCATTTCTGTAGAAAATCTAAATAAAAATCACAGTAAGGTCCATATAAGAATATTTCTTCTACAAAATGTACATGTTATTTTTCACGTGAGCATATTTTTCTAGTTTTGCAAGCATCCTGAATTTCATCATGTAGCTTACTGTCTGTCTTTGATGTGCAGTAATAAAGTAAATGGGACCGTAGAAGCACTGATAGATGTGAAGCTTTGAAATGTCAGAATTTATAGTAAAGAGCAGCATTTGTTCACAAGTATAAGGAAACAGAGGCAGAATTAAAAATGATTGGAGCAAATAGTGAAATATCGCTTACAGAGAAAAGCCGAGGTTTAGGTGTTTAAAGTTTGGCAAAAGTTCTTTAGACAAAGTATTATTTTTGTGAGTGAAGAGATTGTTGATTTGTTTCTCTAAATCCATGGCCAATAAAAGACATTTTTATTTGTGAATTCAGTTTTCAGCATGGCTTGCTTTTACATTATCAGTTGGAGGGTGGGCTTTTGGAAATTACTGCAGCTCAGTAATAAATTACAGGTAGACGAGGACAAATTAGTTCCTTTCTTGAGGTATTGGGTTGACAATTTTACAAAATTTGTTTAGCACTTGTGACATGTGATAGTGTCTCATATTGACATAAATAACAGAGCAAATTGGTTCTGAGCAAGAACTATATGTTTTAAGAACACCTTTATACTTCATACTAATTTCTACAACCCTTTGACCATAAAAAACTCTTGTAGGCTTTGACAGAGCTTGTTCAAATAATACAAATGTGTATTCCTGACCCTATAGTGTTAAAAACACAATTTAAGTCCCTAGCACACCCTTCCCCCCTTAAATAAGGAGTTGATTTACCTTTATTCCAGCTCTTCGCAGGTCCACCGGTGCTGGCTCCACCCTTGATTCGTCTCCTTGACTGAGATCATCAGAATAGACAATCTCAGCCAATCCAATGCCTTAGGAAAGGAAAGCATTGGATTGACTGTGATAGTTTATTCTGATGATCTCAGCCAAACACTGCCCTTGCAAATCTGCATCTCCTCATAGAGGTGCAATAAATCAGTGCATCTCTATGAGGAATGTTTAGTGTCTTTATGCAGAGTGTGGAGATGTTTAACTACACCCTATGCAGCACTGATCCAAAAAGCACCTCTAGTGGCCATGTGAGTGACTGCCACTGGAGGTGTCCCTAGGCAGCAATGTAAACACTGCTTTTTCTATGAAAAGGCAGTGTTTACAGCAAAAAGACTGCAGGGACTGAATATACTCACCAGAACAACTGCATTAAGCTGTAATTGTTCTGGTGACTATAGTGTCCCTTTAATGTGGAACAATGCTCGTCAAATAGGAAGTTTTAAGTAAGAACCACTTCAAAAAGTATAAACTGTGCCAAGCCCATGTTTTGACCTCTGCATTATTTTAAGGTATAGTTCATATTTTCACCTAAAATGGATCACTCCCTTTTTCCTTATTAACACAAATCATAAACCATTCAGAATGTGAATCTGAGTTAAGAATTTAGTATTCATTTCACAGCTAATAGCATACATTGACTTAGCAGTTTAATCTTCATTTATGGTATTTGCAGTTTGACTTCATAGACACCTGCTGATATAGATAGATGGATTTTGGAGAAATAAAGAATCTGATCATTTCATGTTCTTTTGTTAATGATAACCCAATCTTGCAATTTTATTTTCTATTCATTACTCCCTATAATTTGATTAGGTCTATATTGTGCTCTAATTATTATTTTCTTTGTTACAGAATGGATTTGCTTTGGTGAGACCCCCTGGACACCATGCAGACCCTTCAACTGCTATGTACGTACATTATTTGTATTTGATACTTTCCTTCAAACTGGTAACACTGACACAACCAATCACCATACTGAAAATTAGGATTTACAAAACAATGCAAACGACCATTAGGGCACCGTGGCATTATCAATATTTTGCACCTCTGTGTGTTTCTTTCTGTCCATATCAACTAGTCTGTTGAAACACTACTTTTATTACTGTCCTGATTATATATATATTTGTCTCCTCAGGGGTTTCTGCTTTTTTAATTCAGTGGCCATTGCTGCAAAACAACTGCAACAAAAATTAGATGTCAGGAAGATTCTTATAGTGGACTGGGTGAGTAATATTCACTTTTTGTACATTTAACATGAACGTCTCCAAAGTGCAGGAACTGGCTGATTTGTCTTAGCCGGCACTAGTACTTCCATTGTTTTCAGTGTATACATTATCTCATAAAATCATACCCAGCATCTTTAGCAAAAGTGTAACCTATTCTAAAACACAAAAACAACTAAACAAACAAAATACTTTTTTTTTTTTTTTTTTGACTCACAAAGATTTTTTCCCTGCATCTCGGACTTTCCCTTTCTATGTCATATTCACAATTGTAACTCCATATACTTACAAATATGATCAAGCATCAAAAAAGAAATGAGGCACAATCAATTGTATTTTATATCCTCAAAAGTTTGCCTGTTTTGTGTAAAATATTTTATCTTGAAAAAAAGACACCAGGTAGAAAAATATATATGATACTGTGTAGTTTAAAGATCTTGGGTAACTGAGAGTTTTTGTCGAGCCAGGTTCTTTTTTTTGCGGCAAATAGCTCTTTGTTCTCGTTTAACAAGACATGTTTATATTTTGAGATTTAAGACATTATTGTTTCTTTTGTTAGGCTTGGCACTGGCCCACTTTTTTTGTTTGTAGTTTGATTTTCTCAAGCTAGTGCTCAGACTGATGGATGTATCTGTGTATATTATTTACTAAAGCTTGACTGCACCACCTTTCCTTTGGAAATGAAATGCCCTTGTTACACATGTGGTGTGTTAGTTTAGACTTGATTTTATCCGGGTATAATTTGAGATCCCTTCTTTTCGGATATGTGGTTGGTTGACTTTGAAGCTGAAGATGGTTTGATATGGAATTGTGGTCCTTTTGGTTTCCAGCTGTGGTCATGTTGGTGCTAAACTGTTGATTATTTTGTGCTTGTGGCGTTTTTGCTTGTTTGAAAGTGGTATTAGGATTGCAAACATTCTTCTTTTGGGTTGGAGCTATGGTCATCATTGTTTTTACTTTGGTGTACGCATAAATAGTCTAGATTCCATTCTAGGACTTTTATTAACGGGTTGCTGAAGTGCTTCATAATATGCAGCAATGACTTGTTACAAGACTGTTGATATTATTTTCAAAATGTGGAACTTAACTTTTTGAAACAATAGCCTTAAAAAGTCTTGAATAATAACATTGTTCATAGTTGAAAACAAATCTGGGTCTCTGAGCTTAGCTGTCCAGGGATTCTCAGACTAAGAGGACCGTTTTCCCTTGACAGCTATTGTTGGCCAAAGGTGTTAAGGTGAGGGCAAAGTCAAGTTCAGCAAAACCTTTTTTTTTTTGCCTCACAGTTTTATTCATATTTCCTTATCTTTCTTTTTCCTTTTCCCCCCCCCCAGGATGTGCACCATGGCAATGGAACGCAGAGGGTTTTTTACAGAGACCCCAATGTACTATACATCTCCCTGCACCGACACGATGATGGGAACTTCTTCCCTGGCAGTGGAGCTGCTGATGAGGTGACAATTTAACATTTTCATGTCAAGGATTGCTCAGGAAATTCTAACCCATTTTGTTTAATAATTTTCTCAACTAATCATCACAAACCCTTACAGATCTTCAAGTTATAGAAACATATTGATGTTTCGTCAAAAAACAATAATTGTGGAGAATTTAAAATTTGAACATTTATGCCAAAATAACCAAATTTGAATGTAATGGCTTTTATTTCGCTTTTTTAATTTTCTATTCACTTGTCATTTGTCAGCAACCTCAAATTTAGTGACTAACCATCATTGTTTCATACCCAAAAAAAATGTAGTTTCTTATTGTATCGAGATGACATATGTATCAATCTAGTCAGTTCTAGTTGGGTGAGAGAAGCTCCATTCACCTCAGTGGGTTAAATCTGAAGTTAAAAAATATAAAATCACAGATTGACATTACTGATCACGTGCATCCAATACTACAGAATTGACTCTCAGGGCTGAAGGACTAAGAGGATTGTGCATCGTAAACAGTTTATCATCATTACTTTGATATTTTGAGGAACAAAGGATTTTTTTTGCGAGAAAGAGGGAGGGAAGATGCAGAACAGATGGGGAATATGCATTCCTGCCCAGAATAACTCCTTTGAAAACAATGTTATAAAAATGATAGACAGAACACTTGCATTTCATCATTTGTAGCCTGCAAGAAGGAACATAAAAAAAAAAAAAAAAACTTTTAATCTCTTGAACCATTAACATTTTAACTGCATATAGAGTCAAAGGCCTGGAAATTCCAATCGGGTAAATTTCATCTTTCATGAGAAAAATCTCTTTCACTTCTTTGTCACTTTGCCCACTGTTATCAAATTGTTGATTTTGTAAATGTTCTTAAAGGGGCACTTTAGGCACCATGTACTCAACTTTTTTTAGTGGGTACTACCTCAAACCCCTCACCTGCCTCTTGGTGACTGTCAGCACGTAACTCAATGTTCAGGATGCCTGATTGACAGCCCTAGTAGGCAGCGTTGATCCACTGCGATTGAATATGAGAGTGGACTTCTGGTTCTCAGAGCGCTCTGCATTAAAGCGATTATGGTGCTTCGACAAACCTTTTAAGTCAGTTGTCAAGTCACCAAAATCAATGTTTAATAAATGGACCCGATATAATCTGTAGGATTACATTCATTGCTAGCATTATAGATAGTGGTCTATGATGCATTTATTATCTATGTAGAAAACTGAAGCTGTTTCTTGATGCTAGCAATGCATTAATTTACCAGTATTAAGCAAGTCCATGTACTGGATAAGGTCTATCTTCAAATAGATGGATTGTAATTTTAAACAAAGGCGTGTGTAAAGAGTATGCCAGGGGTATCCAGTAACACCCTGATGCAGGACCTAGACGCAGGACTTAGATGTCCATATCGGTCCCTACATCCACTTATGTACTATTTAAATAAAACTCATTACCTGATAATAAAAAAAAAATTATTTATCTTGGAATGTTTGAGTTTCATTTAAAGGTCTGTTAAAAGTGTGTACTGAACACAGCTACTGATTTTTAAGAAATCCCTATCTCTCTTTGAAGAATCTCCATATCTCTCACTCCTTTATATCATAACCTCTTTACTCCTAAAGTATTAAAACATTTGCTGGTTGTGGCATGTCCAATTTCCTGATTATTACACCCTTTTGAAAGCCCAAAACAGAAGTGTAGTTTATTTGCTGAAAGATTATTACACATACATGAGTAGACACATATGCCACACACACATCTTATATAATCTTATATTATAAATAAAAACAAATAAACGAAAAACAGACCCCCTAGCACATAGAGTATGATCACGGATACTGCCTTGGAAGTTATCACCAGCGATGGTATAAGTAGGATAAATGGGGGAAGGCACTGGGGATAAGAGCCAGCTGTCCCCTGCATGGCCCAGATGTTGATTTGAAGCATTCTGCACCGGATATTCACTGAGTGACATTGTGGCATTTGCATTCTGTATTTGCATTTTGGGCATATGTCATATTCTACAAACATAAAGTAATAAAACGGATGGTAAGCCTGCCTGCTACAGGAATTTCAAGAAGGCAGCAATGGCCAGACATGATCCCCATGTTATGTAACTGCAGAGTCCATCATAAACAATCATCTGATCTCTGTGCTGTGCCCCTGTGCTGCAGTGGTTTAATTAGGAAATGCTGTAAAAAATAAGCTTTCTTCACTACTATCGTGCAAGGACTAAGTAAAACTGCTTTTGCCATTGTACAACATACATACACATTACAGAATAAGAAATAGTTAAGTTAGCAAGAAAAGTAAGAAAAGACTTGTCCTTTATATTGTTGCTAAACACTGCTTCTTGATTGACAGGTAGGATATGTCATTTGGAATAATTTATTAAATCTGGATTTGACTATGGAATTGCAAATGTTATACCAAAATGGCAGATTTGGAAATATCCACCAACTCCAAAATTGTGCAATTCTCAGCAATTCCCTGTTTTAGTGAAATATCAAAAGTATCTACGTAGATCCGTGGCTCCCCTCTCTCCAGCATTCTAATGCTAATCTAAGCACATGAATATTGGGCTAATCTGCTTCAGTTCTGTAGAATGAAGAAGTGAACATTTTAGTGCTGTAGATGAATGTGAATCAAACGGTTTGTTTCACAATTTAACATCCAGCTGTGGCAGCTGGTAGCCAGACATCACTAGCTCCATGGAACCCTTGGCATGTGCGTAGATTGCTTGATGGGGATCTGGCATTGTGCTTAATCATTCTGAGTAATAGTGGATGGCTTCAGCAATTAATGGGCGAGAAATAGATGACATTAGGAAAAAAGAATCAGGGCTATAGGATCATTTTTCAATCACACTCTCACATGCATTTCCTGAGTTAATTGTCTAGAGGAACATCAAAGAATGTGGAATTCAATCTACATATTATGTTCTGTAGTGTATATGTATATTTGCTGACTGGCAATATGAGGTATTGGGTACGGTTGTTCAGATCTTTCTTTAAAGACTCAAAAGTGAACAATATTCCAGGATTAATATTGTGTCCAGCTATTTTCATTTGATGTGTCAGTGGTACTGAAGATAGCACGTTTTATGTGGGCTGCACATCTGATTGATATTAGACTTCTTACGTGTATTTCTGATCTTTGTCTGGTTTGCAGGTTGGTGCTGGCAATGGTGAAGGCTTTAATGTGAACGTTGCCTGGACGGGTGGTTTGGAGCCTCCAATGGGAGATGCTGAATATCTTGCAGCTTTCCGGTGAGTCTCTACATGTGCTGTCCACCCTTTCTCCATGTACTTGCTTCTTCTTCCTTATCTAGGTTTCCCACCTACTCTTTTCTGCTCCCACTTTTCACTCCTTTTCGTTTCTGTCTTTTCTGAACTTTTAGTGCATTTTAGTGCTGGTGGAAAGTGCCGGATGAGGAGAGCTGGGGACTGAAGCCCTCTGGGTGTCCACAGTCGCAGGTATTACTTGGTCAGCATCAGTGCAGCCACCTTCCCCGCGATCCTTATCAATACATTCATTTATGGACATAACATTAATATCCTGATTGGCCCATGAGTGATTACCCCATGCCCTGCTACACACCTTACACCAATTAATTATGTGAATACCAGTGTGGTATTTGTTTTAAAGTATTAAATCTGATTATCTGCAATGTGCATCTCCTACAAGTTTTCTTCATACCAAATTGTGAAGCCATGGCATCCAAAACGCAAGTGGACAAAGGAGATATATATTGGTTTGTTCAGCATAAGAGGTTGTATTAAGACAAAGGCATGCATTATTGGCCCTTCCATTCTTATTTTATTAGCATCATGTTCTGCATGCTGTTTCTAATGTTACATTTGAACAAAAAAAAACTGCTTGCCTGAATTGTTACGTTGTAGTATGTGGATGTCCAACCTTGGCGCTCAGCTGTTCTTGACCTACAATTCCAAACATTTTCTGTTATATGTGTTATTTGGATTTATCAGCCTGGGACAGCTGGAGAACCAAGTTTGAAGACCCCTACTGTAGTACAAAGATCTTCAGATGCTGGCTAACCATTTCTATCTATTCTTAGCCCAGGTGGCCACAAGTTGGTAAATCTGCCCGAAAGTGTAGAGTTTACTCTATCTGCATGTTTTCTGCTAATTACACATGTACCCTGCCTGAAATGTCCCTACAATTAACAGGTTTGCTGATAGTAGCATGCAGCCCATTGTTCTGCAACATGAATCAGGCGAGTCCTCTTGCAGTGACACCACTCCACTACCAGCACCAGTCCACCCTGTCTGTCTGCTTTCTGCTCTGAAACCTGGTTTTCCAGTCTTTTCCTTATTTCATTTTGTCTTCTCTTAGTGATGATTGTTATGGTGTTTTTTTATGATGATACCACTGATAACCTTAGCATCAACTACTGATGTCTGGAAGATTACTTTCCCATGATGCTTGGGTTCCTTCACTTGACACGTGAAGTAATTTTAGTGCAAAAGTCATAAAACTAAATGGCACCAGTTACCTGGCAGCTGTAAATCAAGTTACATTATTTATTAAAAGGGCCTGTTACGTGCATTGAATATTTTAATGTGTTTTAAATGTTATAGCTTAACTATATCAGGTTTGTATAAAGGGACATTGTAGGCGCTGTACCTGCTTCATCTCAAGTGGTCATAATGTCTGGAGTCCCCTGGCACCGTCCTTCTATTCAGTGTCAAAACGTTTTTAGTGTTTTTATACTAAATGTGAGTCCTCTGCACCCCACCCGGTCTGTGCTGTTTGAGCTAATGAGGAAACATTAGCTTGCGGATCAGTGGGCATCTGCATTTGGCCGGGCGTGTCAACTGACTGCTTTTAGCCTGTCACAGCACCCATAGCTGGTATGAAGCGGCATTGCTCGAAGGAAGTGTGTAATCTCTACCTTAGCCATACCACTAGTAGAGACTGGGCTGTGGGTGGCCAGAGACCCTTACTTAGTGTTAAACTGCTCAGAAATTGTTTAGCACTGCATGGAGGACTAATGGCAGAGGACTCTAGGAGCTGTAACCAATCTAGTGAGATAAAATGGTTATAGTGAATGCATTGTCCATTTAAGCTTGCCAGTATAAACATACATGTAATCTGTTTCATCAAATTCAACCATTGGTCATTGACTACTTACTCCATCAGCAATAACTGTGCAAAGAGATTTATTGGTCGATATAAGAAGTTGCCATTGAGCCTTGATTCTTGTAATGTAAAAGAATACAATGTCAATGGGAGCAGTCAAACAGAGCAAGCGGACATTCTGCAATTCACTTGTGTACACAGTACTTCTTGATTGAGCCATGTAATGATTGACACTTCTCCATCACAAGAAAGATGAACAAAACCTGCACAAAACGAAAGGGAAAAAAATGATGGAATCAGTGGCTTCATTTTATTTTTAAAGTTCTTGCTGGTAAACTTTAAAATGTGGCTACTGTTTTTGCAGTTATCTCCTGTATCATGGTTAGGTGGAAGATCTTTTTGGAGGTCTTACTGTCTTTGCTCCAGCTGACAGAAAGAATCACCATAGAGGTGCATCACAGAGTTGTGTTACACCTGCAGTTTGCATTGCATCTCTATGATTTTTGCTGATGTTTTCTGTAGACGACAGCAGGGAAGCCAATATTAGAGACCTGCACATGGAGACAGCAGGGCCTGACAAGGTCTGAATATATTTAAAATAGCTTTTCTATAATCATACAGTTCAAGGAGGCTTGGCAGGGGGCCCTAGAGATCCTTATTTGTTTATAATACAATGTTGAACTATTTATGCAATATGCCTGGCAGGAGCAACATCAACCTATCTGTGCAAAATACATTTTCTGTTTAAAGGAGACATCCCTGTACTCCACCACATCACTGTTGTTTTTTTGTTTTTTTAAATTCTTTATTTTTGCTGTGCATATGTGTAGTAGAGGCAGGTGAGAGGTGCCCCAAGAGCAGTCCTCTAACATTTCCCATGCTCAACATGTGGGGCACAAGATAGACAATTTTATATTAATGTCAGGTATAAAATGTCAGGGTGAAATATTCAGAGGTGTGACAAAGGTAGAAAACATGACACGTGCAAGTATAATATTAACATGGAGATAGCAGGTTAGTAAGCATCATTTTCTGGTATAACATGCTAGATTTAAACAGACTGATAGCTTAATTGTATGCTTGCTTGCTTAATGACATGTTAGATTAACATAAATCAGAGTATTCCGGTATTAAGTAGCATATAGGTAGGCAGTAAACCATCCACATGAGTGATAACAAACATTGCTTAATGGGATGTACAATTAAAGGTTATGCGTTATATGACATTATTGACATTTCTAACCGGTTGGACTTAACAAGCTAGGTACATCTCCTGAGTGCACAGTAGCATAGTATACATTAGGTAGATACAGAGCAAGCCTGCCCTAACACAGTCTCAGGCTCACAAGATAAATGTGCTCTGGTACTGCAGTTAGGTTTGAGTATTTAGGCATGTAGACATAGGACTAGGTAAACTTGAGTCTGTACTAGACCTTGCTCTTCAGAAGTGAGAAGAATCAAAAGCAAACATACTAACTAAATAAATAACTATATAAACCACTGTGTCCCCACGCACCCAATCACTGTAGAGTTGCAGTGTAGAGTAAGCCCTGCAGAGTTTAGATTTATAGAATAGAGTGATGATAGGTAGGAACTCAAGTCCAAATTAGTATTTTGCTAGGTTATAAATAGCACATTAGCGTAGGGTGGCGGCGTTGTCCAATTAGGTAACGGCCACAAGTGGATGGGGACCAGACCTGTAATGTGAGTGCAGCTTCAGCCGACGCCAGTGCATGGGATCACTGTTTTTTTTAATCTAAGATGTTTAATACAAATTGCATTTTTGTAGGGCTGTTTTGGGTAATAAAATGATGAAACACTTCAGTCAACATTTTGTTTTTTATCCTCTCTGATGTAAATGACCATGCACAAACCCCACTTTACTGTAGTTATTGATTTTGATGGACACAGCTTTATGAATCATAATAATTTTCATAAGCCAGGCATTGTCAGAATTAACCATATTTCTTGGCTACAAACTGCCCATTGTGCAGTAGTTGATCGTAGCGCATGTTTTTTAAACACTGGTGGAAACATGCAAATATTGCCTTAATTCGGTCACAGGTTTTCATCGATATCTAGAAGCATTCAACTAACCCTAGTTTATAGACCTGCTACACAATGAACCTATCCTGGAAATTGAAGATGATATACAGCAAAATAGGTTTTTGAGCATTTTAAGAAAAAAACAAAAGACACACATAAAGAAAACACAACAAAACACACACACAGATAGATCGTAGACTTAGCCACACTTTTTTTTCACCTAGAGAAAATACACACATTGACACACATACAGATGCAAACACTGATACAGATACACACTGGCACACATACAGACACACAGATACACTCACTGACAAACATGCAGACACACACACACTAACACGCATACAGATAAACAGACAAACACACTCTGACATATATGCAGATACACACAATAACACACATGCAGATACAAACACGGACACACATGCAGTTACACAGACACACTAACACATACAGATGCACAGACACACACACTGACACACATACAGGTACACAGACACACATACCCAGAGATACACATAAAGTCACAGAGATACACATACAGACACACTGACACACATGCAAGTAAAAAGACACACTTAATGACAAACATTCAGATACACAAGATGACACTCATATAGATGCAAACATTGACACACACAGATTCAGAGGGGCACACACTGACACACATACAGACAGATATGCATACAGAGTAAGACACATACAGGCACACAGATACACATGTAGACAGATACACAGACACCCTTTTGCCTCGCGTTAAAGACGGCCCTGGTAGCCACATCCTGTTAGTTTTGTTCCACCTGATCTCCTGACAGATTAGCGATTTCCAGCTGTTTTTTAAAGTTTCCTTGTGTTTCTAGATATTTAGGATTCTAGAAACTATAACCCTCAAAGTTTGCTTAAAATATTTAAACCACTCATGCTGATAGGAAGTTACCAGCAGATATATTGTGTAAATATTAGAATTCTCTGTATATGGACCTCTCCTGTGGGGGTAAAAGCAGCGTTCTGTTGCAATGCTTGTTTGTTTTGCTTCTCAGAGGATGGCATAGTTTTAGTATCGTAGACTAAACTATCTCTATAGAACTGCTGGCATTTTCTGTACCACAACCTATAGATTATATATAATATCTTCCAAAGTATCGCCGTGATCAATTTGTGACAGGTGCACATCATTTACTGCTTCTACTGGATTTTGCAGTTTTTTTTGTTTTTTTTTGTATTATACAATATCTAGCACACCTGTTATAAAATGGTTAATCTCTTGCAGAATGTTAAGTATTATCATAGCTTTACAGTAAATATTAAAATATTCCTGTTTATTGGAGTCTGTTGCAAGCAGGAGGTTACTCTTAATTACACCTGAAAATGTTATCTTAGAGTAAACAGCTATTGCGTTTCCCAAAATAACAGAAAAGGCCAGATATGAGATTAGTCTAACATATTACTAATTTTTATTTAGTGGAAGTTTTCCATACAGCTCCCCTCCCCTCAGATTTGGTACTCTGTCCTGTGGGGATGTTCCAGGCAAACTAGGTTATAATTTGTCCACATTATGTTGCCAAATCATTTGTGATGTGTTTATACAACTATTGTTTTTCTTGTATACTCCATACAATAATCATTTAACTAATAACTCCACAAGAAAAAAAAAAAAAAAAAAGAACAAGCATAAAACTTTAAGTTTACTCAAAAAACGGTATAAACCAAAATTGCCAAGCTGGGAAAATAATACGCTAGATTATTTTTCCAATTAAAACATTGCAGGATTTTTTAAAATTGTTATTTTCAAATTCACCATTATTCACTGTTCATTAAAAAAAAACCTTCTGTTAATCCATGCAATAGAATGGTAATGTAAACAATATTTTTGCTGTGCGTCGTTGATATGTGTTTCTAATTAAAACAGAGGCATGGTTACCCTAATTATGTCACCCAGGCAGAGGCAGGGTGTGATAGCCTGCTGGCCATGAATCACATATGTACTACAGATTTCAGAAGGCTGGCTGTGGATGATGGGACATGTTACTCAATAGCAGCCGGGGTGCTGAAGATTGTAAATCCAGAGGCTGAAGATGCACATGGCTATAAATGGAATTTTTATTTGCTGCACAACGTGGAAGCTGGCTGCCGATATTTTATATACATATATGAATGATATAAATGACTGAATGATTTTTTTGATTCCACGTGTCAGGCAGCCCCATATATCTCATAGCAAATTATGCAGAGGTAATGTGCAAACCAGATTTGGTCACCATGGGACGCTGTATGGCTCTTTGTAGTTCTCTGTGCTACCTTGAAAATCACAGCATGACTTTCTGCATGACATAGTTATGAAAGAGTTAAGTGGAGTTTATATGTGGTTGCAGCAATGCCTTTATGTTCCTCCATGTATGATTTTGCCTCTTCCTGACCACCCGCCCCTTCCCCCTTTTTCAACATCTGGATTAGTTTTACTTGAAAGGGATTCTATAAATAGGTCTTCTGCACAAAGAAAGCATAATACCGCTCTGGGCTTTGCTCGGATATTTATTTCCTTATTGTATGTTTTTATATAGCACTTCCTCCAGTGAGATTGCGAGCTCTCCGGGATAGGTATTTACATGTGGTTTGCACACACACACTATAATTGGACCATGAAAGGCATATAGTGAAATAAAAACATTTCTTTAGGAAAATACTCTTTCCTTTGGGAAACAAACGTAATTGCGATCAGTGGAATGACATGTCCTTGATTCCCAAGTCTGTAAATAACACAGTGCTACAAAATGGTCCTAATTTGCTAAACGGAGGGGGTTAGCTCAATATCGTGTAATTATATTGAATTGCTCAATCTTGATTTTTATTTAGTTTGAAATAAATTTCCCTAAATACCACTACTCTTAAATAACCAAAATCATAACACCCACAGCCTTTGAAAAGTTATGCATTACTGAAACCCAGCAAAAAGGCCTAATATCACAATTTATATAATTATCTATGCGCAAATTCCAACGAATGGGGTAAACATATAAATATATTGACCTTTGGGAGAAGGAGTAGGAGATTTGTTGTAGGGAGGTGAATGGGAGGAGATCTAGGAGGCAAAATCCTAGCGTCTAGCATGCGTCCTATACGTTGTATACTAGCGTCTAGCATGCGTCCTATACGTTGTATACTAGCGTCTAGCATGCGTCCTATACGTTGTATACTAGCGTCTAGCATGCGTCCTATACGTTGTATACTAGCGTCTAGCATGCGTCCTATACGTTGTATACTAGCGTCTAGCATGCGTCCTATACGTTGTATACTAGCGTCTAGCATGCGTCCTATACGTTGTATACTAGCGTCTAGCATGCGTCCTATACGTTGTATACTAGCGTCTAGCATGCGTCCTATACGTTGTATACTAGCGTCTAGCATGCGTCCTATACGTTGTATACTAGCGTCTAGCATGCGTCCTATACGTTGTATACTAGCGTCTAGCATGCGTCCTATACGTTGTATACTAGCGTCTACTATACTATACTAGCATACGCCCATGTTATAAAAAAATTCTCTGCTGTATATTTTACCCTAAATTCCAAATTCAGTTTTCAGTTAACTAAAATAATTTTTTTCACAATCAATCAAAAGGTTTACAGCGAATATGCAAATCTATAAAATCCAGTAAAAACTCATAAAACCCCATTAAAGGATATATAAGTCTAGCTCTCACTGCAATTGCCTTAGGTGATTTTTTTTAATAATGACAGAATTAAAAATATTTTTTTTTTGTCCTCAGCACGGATCTTCAGGTTAGATGGAATCAGAATGCAAGTGTAGTCTTAATGATTTATAAGGTTCCATTAAAGGAATTGCAGTCAGCAATACCCAACGTTCCAGTAACTGTAAACGCTCTGGTCACTCTCTGCCTACTTACCATATGCATCTGGAGTGACAGGTAGTCTCATTCTGTGTCACTGATTAGTTGGTCAATCCATGGTTTGCGGACAGTATAGTTTTATAAGCTCAGATTTACATATTGTAACAAAAAATAGCTCTCTCGTTGTTTAGATATACAACAGGAAAGATAGCCTATAAGTAGTGCTTACTATCAAAGCTGTATGGAACAGATCTAAAGAACCTTTACTGAATGTGTGTGCACTTAGAAGAATGAGTTTACCTAAGAAACCAGACCTCAATCTGTTGTAGATTGTTGTAGTGGGTCTAGCACTAACCTGCCAATGTTTTTTTATCATAATTTTTTTTCTTTTATTGCTGTGTGCATATAAATAGGTGCATGTATCCTGTGCAGTTTGATTCTTTTTATACCCTTGTTATAGCTGATAAATGATGGTTACCTAAAAGATAACAGACCCGCCAGCTTTTGTAAAACTACAACAACTGGAGAACCTGTTGGCCAACCCTGAGCTAAATTGTAACCCTCCATTCAAGCTGTTTAATGTTGGCATTTAAAGGTTTATTGATACATTTAGATCTTTCTGTTTTGACACTAAAGATTTATTTGGTCTCTGTTTACAGGACCCTGGTAATGCCAATCGCTCATGAGTTCTCACCAGATGTGGTCTTGGTTTCTGCTGGGTTTGATGCAGCTGAAGGACACCCGGCTCCTCTCGGAGGATACAAAGTGACCGCAAAGTGTAAGCATATTGGGGTGAATTTAAAATGTTGTGAATCCCAGAATGTTTTTTAGCTCATGTCAGGCTTGTGAAATCACATTTTGTTTTTAACATTATTCATATCTCTTGCACTTGTAGTTCTTTGTGTGGGATGGCACTGGGGAGTTTATTCAATAAGCAGTGACTTCCTAGACAATTCTTAATCACTGTAGACATAGCTTGGCTACTTTACATTTTGATAATCAGATTTCAGCCCACTACTGTTCTGTGTTTAGTGTAAAAAAGTCAGAACATTTTCTTGGCTTCCGGATTGATTACTCTACATTGAGAGTTAAAGCCCAAAGTGAAGCTATGTCGAATTAAAAAGTATACATTATGAAAAGACTTATTATTCCAAATACTCTAGGCTGCAGTTCTTGTACCAAAGTGAGTGTGTGTGTATCTCTCTTGACATTATCACAATAATAGTTAGCGTGCAAAATAAAGATTGTCTTGACGTACACAGATTTTGTAATTCAGTGAAAATAAGAGGAAAATTAAAAACCTTATTTTCCCTTGCTTTTCTCTCCCCTGTCTGTTTTGTTTTGTCAGAATGACTGTAATGAACACACACAGAAATTAATAAATGAGGCTTGTACGTGTGCACCACTGTTACTTAAAGTAAACTCCAAACATTAGAATTATTACATCCCACTTTAGTAGTTGTGATGCTAGGCGTACCCTGACATTGTTCTCCAGTAACGGAGAAAACCATTTTATAATGGGTTCTGCCTGGCACCGAGTCTCCAGTCCTGCCAGGTGTCATTCATTTGGCTTTTGCATAGCTGCTAAAACAGCTATGAAATCTTGCCAGTCCCTTATTGGCTGAAAGCATCAGCTGAGCGCACCTGTGCTAGGAATATGCATAGAATTATCATTAGCCAGCTCAGAATTCTAATTACGGGCTGGCTAAGTGACGTACCACTAACTCTGCTAGTGGTGGAGTTACACCTCTGACTGCAACATTAAATATTTCCTATTAAAATATCATACTGGAACGTTGCCATATAGACTCCAAGCACCATGACCACTTCAAAACACTTAAGGGGTCATGGTTCTTGGAGTAACCCTATAAATTCCCTTGAGGTGAACATGTTGCTGTATGGCTGTAGTGTGCATGGGTCAGAGGATCCCATTCATATCTATGGGGAATGCACTTGTGTGCTACTTTTCTAATAGACGTTGACTGGAAATCAGAGAAGGCCTGAGATCTTCTATTCATTTCATAACTGGAAAGGATGTCACTGGAGCCTAGAGAGAAATACTTCCTTGAATAATTTCCTTTTAAATAAATACATATATTTTGAATGTGTTTGAAATATAAAGCATTAAAACAGGCATTACATATGCTCATTTTTGTTTTTCCTCCTTGAATAAAACGTAATTATTGTGCGCTTTCTCATTAAGGCTTTGGTCACATGACACGTCAGCTTATGAGTTTGGCTGGTGGACGAGTGGTACTTGCTCTGGAAGGCGGCCATGACTTGACATCAATATGTGATGCTTCCGAGGCCTGTGTATCTGCTCTCTTGGGAAATGAGGTATAATTATAATGTGCTATTTATTGTGAATATCACAACTGTGCCTTGCTTTTTTTCTACCTGATTAATAAGCATAATATACCCTCAAAATATACTAATAGTAATTGTTTTGCAAAAAACAACAACAATTTATTCAGTAACCTGCTCTTCTCCCCCAATTATTAAATAGCAAAAACATGGGGGGAAAAAGCAAAATATAAAGGTTTTTTTTTAAACTACAGTATACATGACCATAATGTGCTGTCAAATAAATCTTTGTTCCCAAACATATTTTTTTTTCTTTCTTACAATATGTGTATGTGCTACAATCTGTTACGTATTAGCATCTGACATGTAAAGAATAAACAGGTAACGGTTTTAAAAAGATGGGTTTTTTTAACAAAGTCTCCTCTTTTACCAGCTGGATCCTCTATCTGAAGAAACATTACGGCAACGACCCAACCCAAATGCTGTGCGTTCATTAGAAACATGCATTCAAGTCCAAAGTAAGTTCTTGTAGGGGGGTAAGACTCTAAAGGGTGGGTGCATGTTTTTCGAAAGAGAAGCATTTTCGCCAGATAGATCAGCCTGCCACGCAGTGCTCAGCAATATAATGCGTGGCAGGCCATTCCAGCTGGGAAGCACAGAAGGACTTTTCTACATCAATACAAATCTGGAAGACATAACTTCAAAGGGCTTGTCACAAGGCTCCCTGAGTGATAAATCAGTCACAAATGTTGCCGGGATTTCATTTCAATTAATACCAGAACTTAATGAGCATTCAGCAGCTATAGAATGATCTCAAAAATATGTATAGAGTAGCCAATTTGGCCAGGATTGCTAAAAGCTTTCAGCAGGTCCCTGTAACTATTCAAACCGCACAGCCCCCTTCCCCCCATGCTTGCTGTGATCGCCTTTGTAAGCAAGGATGATATGGATGTTATGGTTGAGTGAATTAAACTAGGTCAATTTGTTTTTATTGTTTCTTCATCTACAGTGCAAGTTCTCAAATGCATTCGTTTCCAAATCCAGATTCAACCACTATTGGCCTGTCCGTCCATACCGTGAAATGGCTTTCCTTAATCAAAACTGCGTAATTAGATTTAATCCGCTAATTATGCAGATGTCTCTGACAACTAAGCCTCGAGGTCCAAGTAGTCTCCTCTGCTCATCCTTTGCCTAAACCTCTGGCTCTATAGATGCTAAAAGCTCCTAGACAGGCTTAACAAAATTATCATTACTTAGCCCTCCATGTCTTGCTCACTTGTCATCTATAGCCTCATTAACAATTTCCCTTATTTATTCACTGCCTAGTCTATGGGATTTGTGACATATATATATATAAACTGCCACACAAACAGGTGGAGTGCTTGCCATGCTTCATCTCCTGCCTTAAGCAAAGTAGAACATTCTAAAGTCAAGTATGATTAAATACAGACCGTAATCTGGATATCCGTAAGGATGATGTACTCCAAGTGGGAATGTCACCTTGCTGTAATTGCCCTCTGTATATTTTATTGGCTGACAGATAAAACCTTTGTCTAATCATGTTTTTGCTCAAGGTCTGATGGAATTTGGAGTCTATAGACAAGCCGTTACTCAGAAATTGCTTTTGTTTGCAGATAGTGATGGTTAGTGTGAGAGTTAAAGCTGTGAAGAAATGTTTCTTAGTCCATAGCTTGATTGTATGTAAGTAGAACATTAGCTATATGACATTCCTTGAGAGTAGCATTTCTCAATTGACTTATATCACAGAGTTATATAATTTATTTTCATTTGACCATCAATGATCTTTGGGCTTTGGGAAATGATTCCATAACATTTGCACAAGAACAATAACTACAGTAAGTGGGGCATGTTATGACTGAAGTTTTTATTACAGGTAAATACTGGGCATCTGTCAAACGATTTGCATCCAAGGTTGGCTACTCATTTCTGGAAGCAAAGCATGATAAAGACGAGGTGGAGACCGTGACTGCCTTAGCATCTCTGTCTGTCGGTAGGGGTTCTATGGCTGCTGCTGGGAACAGGTAAAGAGACATCTGTTTTTTTAGTTCTGATTAGTGTAAACCTCGTCAATGAGAGGAACCTCTTTTCTACCTCTGTGCTTTTCTGCTTTACCAGAAATGATGTAATAATATATTTGTTTTAACTGTTTGATTACCTGATATGTGTAATGGGCCAATATAGTACAAACATGGTTAAACAGTAACTTTTAGCACTCACTACGAAAATTAAATATTTGTGGAATTCATTTGAGCTCATAAATTGTTATTGATGAGATTCCATATTTATTATATAAACAAAAAAATAATGTGATATGGTGTGACATTTGCAGTTCCATTTATAGATTAAATGTGTAGGTTTAATGAGGCATGTCACAGTTAAGGCCCTCAGTTTGTTCCGCACTCAGATAATGTTATTTTGTAACCTATTTCAAGTTTGTTTAGCATTCCCAAAACATGGTTATTTGTGTCTCATTTAAAGTTATTCCTTGCTGAAGCTGACCCAAATGCTGGTCTTCTCATTGCCCTGATATGGAGTGCTGCACATATCACATAATGGTCTGTTCAGGAAGGGGGTCAGTCGGCTTTTAGTGTGTGAGAGTGTAGAGTGATCCAGCCATAAGTATTTGTCTTTGTTTCTATTTACCTTTGCAAGTAACTTCATTTATTTTATTTTAGTAGTGAAACTACTAGCATCTGTGTCTGCCTTTCCATTTTCTGTGTTCATGGACTGATCTCTGTTTCTCAGTCTGTATGCTTTTTATTTTTTTAACCCTCCCAAAAGTTAGGGAGCACCCAGAGAAATAGTTTTGCAAAGATGTGGTAAAAAACAAAGCCAAAGACCTTGCAATTAATATCCATCTTTCTTTTCACAGTGTTCCTCACGAAGAACCAATGGAAGAAGACACGCCAATGAGTCTATGACCTGTGGAACTGAAAATCTAGAATTAGATGGAATCATTTGAACTGTTGGTGATGAATTTATGCAGTTTGCCTGATTACTTTGAATTGTGAAAATCACATTGCCCAATGCCTGTGAGTTAATTAATAAGGATACCATTTCCATGCTCATCGTGTACTAATTCAAATGTGAGATCGACATGGGATTTTGCCTAAAATTCAATCTGCATTTTGTTGCCTGAACATGTTAAATTTCTACCAAATACAAATATACTTTGTCTTCTGATGACTGACATTTTGAAAAGGCTGAAGACATTGTTGTGCTTGACCAAAGATATCACTCAGGTGATGACTGATTGGTCGAAAGGAAGACCAAAGGAAGATTACCAATGATATCCTACTCGGACCAGTGATAAAACAACATTTCCGAGACCTAAGAAAGTAAATAATTGTTTTGTATGAAGTCATGTCTCTCAAAAATGAATCCATCAACATAAAAAATCCATACCTGACATACTGGGTTTTTTAAATTGTATTTTCATTTACATCATGCTGGTGGTATGCAGTTCCTTCACTCATAAACCTCAGGACCTCATGGAATTTTCTCGGACTGTGTTCATTGGATCTTTGGTGGTTATGCCAAACAAAAGAAGTGTATTTTACCACTTTTTAAAAATGCATTAAGTTTTATTTCAATTATGCCAATAGGTATAGATGTACCTTGATTTCACAAAAGTCACCAAGATGAATCTCTTGAAGCTAGGTTACCACTATGGACTTAATTTTCTGTGCAAAATATGGGAGACATTTTCACTCACTCACTGGAGATTCAAGCACGGAGACGGAACTGAAAGTCTTTTTAATTCTAAGTGCCTGGCACACCTGGAAATGTAGAAAATGCCTTATCGTTTATATATTTCTTATGACCACTAATCCCAACTTGGAATGGATTTTGTGTTGTTCATTTGCACTATGGGGTTACCCCACACACATAACAAACATACAAGGACATTTTAAAAACGACAACATGTCAACTTCTAATCGACTGCATATAATAAAATGGGAAAGGACCTTCATTGCTGTACACATGAGTGCTTTAAAAGACATTTTTGAACAAAGCTTGCTATATCGAAGAAAATATTATTTCCCGTGTGCTTCAGCTTCCAGGTGGGCTGGGAGAGGTTATAAAGTAGTTTTGAAAAACATATTTTAACGAACTGTCAGAAATACTTTGTATTCGTCTCTTAGGTTTTTTTTGTTGTTTGTTTGTTTGTTTTCTCTTCTTCTTGTTTGTCCACAATTTTTACTAGGCTCATTTTAAAAAAGACTTCTTTGTTTCACAAAAGTAATGTAGCTTTTATGGATGATACCTTAGACCAGTGGTTATAGACACCAGAGGAACTGGAACCACAAATGTGACACCTCGTAATTTCAGTGGATCCACACTGGTACATGAAACAGCAGGCGATCACCCACAATACGTTGGTTACTGTACCAGCATTCCTATCACTTTGATGGTGATTAAAGTCTCTAATTTTTATAAAATATTTTTGATCTTATTGTTATTACACTTTAATGATGGGTCGCTGAGCTAATTTCTCAGCAGAAGAATGGGTTCCAAAGCTAATGATTTGATCAGAATTTGGGTCTCTGACAATAAAAAAAGGTTTAGACACTTTGCGTTAGATGACGATAAAACTAAATGTACAAATTGTTCACACAGAGTCACCTTTTGGGGTCCTGTAAAAGGTGCCTTCTGTGAGTTTATGTCCCGACTGTGTAGTTAGTCTAAAAAACATGTACCTCCCCAAAGCTGAACTCTTAGGTTTTAGACACAATATTATAATTTATCTTAATCACTCCTTAATTCTTAATTTTCTAGCACAGAACAATCTTTTTGGTATAGCTAAGGTCTGCTAATGCATGTGGTGTAATTCCATTTTTTTCAACCACTACGTTTGCACAGCTGAGCATCTCGAATCAAGACAGAGCCAGAGTCTGTGTGGACATGTGCGGTAGTTGCACTGGGTAACTTGGGAAAATATATCTACTTTTGTGTTCTTAGTCTGTTCCAATGGGTAATTGGAATTGGAATAAAAAATACAGACGGGGTTGTTGTCTAATATCGGATAGTATTAGCTGATTGGAATTGAATTGCAGCAAAGAGAACTTATAGTTCAATATGGGATAATCTGAATGATAGGATTTGCAGCTCCCAATGGGTTTCTAGCTTTGGGTGATAGTAGTTATAGTCTACTGACTACAGAACCATGTGCCCAGCTTTGGTTTGAAATGTTTTGCAACTCAGAAAAAAATGTGATCAGGCATACTTGACTAACACACGAGACGTGCTAAAAATCTGCAGGATTTAAGGATAGAGAGCAAGGTTTCTGCTGCTGTTTTAAGATTTAGTCTGTTCGTCATGAAACGGCCTCTTTGACATTCACATTCTGAATACATGTCATTCCCAGAGCGCAAAGGAACTTTGAAGTGAAAGCGGTGATGGCGTTGCTGGGGAATATCCAGTATGTGTGTTTTTGTGTGAGTGTGTGTAAAAGTCTATACTTACCGTACTATTGCTTCTCTACCATCACACTTTGTAATGCTGTCAGGTGTGATGACTAGTGATGCGTGAGAGGCCGAGTCGTTAATCAAAACAAACAGCTGTCCAAAGCCTCGGCTCACCAGATCCTGTACATCAAAAACAAATCTTTATCCTCTGGGATCATGACCACTTTCCCCTCGATTTTTTTCCCCCCTTCCCTCTGCACCCTCAGCCACAAATTGTATCCCCTCTGTAACTCATCAATGTGTCAAAGAAAGAAAGAAAAAAAAAATCAAGATTGTGTTTTACCTGTTAACTTGTACAGCCTAAGAAAATGTCTTTTATCTTCCATATTTGCCAACATCTGGTCTAGATAAAGCATTGTGTTTAATCTCCAGCCTCTTGGAATTCTCTGCCACACAAATGTTTTTCTAACTCACTGTATCCACGTGCTGATAGCCCGGTAGCACATACCTATACCACGGATTAGTTCATAACTTCAATGGTTCCAAGTGTGATTATTGTAGGCGACTTTCATTGTTTCAATGAATTTACATAGTGTATATACTGTATAAATGTGACATTCCATCTATGTGTATTTTTTTTCCAGGGGAAATAAGGGTTTTCAAAAATTGACAAAGCAATAAAAATCTAATGACACCAAAGTTTATTTACTGACCAAATTTGTAAAAAAAAAACAAAAAAAAAACTAAATGTTCTGTAACATCAGAAAGACAAACAATGTCTTGTATATTTCCATGATCGTGTGCGTACAGCTGCTTAATGCCATAAAATATTATTTACCAGGATGTGCCGTTAAACTGGACCTTTCAGCCACAATTGGGTGGATGACAAAATTGATTTCACGTGAAATAAAAATGTAACCTGTACATTGTTGTGACTTTCAAAAGATCTCCTGCAAATGTAAAATGTTCAATTATATTCTTACCTGAATTTATTATGGTGAGTTCAAAGATAACCATTCCTACAGTCCACTTGTGATAATCCCACAATATAATTTTCTCAGGAATAAAGAACACAATCTTGTGCTTCTTTGTTGTACATTGCCAAAATTATATGATAAATGATGTTACAGACACAGAGGGGAATTATTTGGCACATATTTTCACTATATACGCTTTTTTTAAAAATACTGTAAATTCCATCAATTAATAGCAATTCCTCCACTATTATATGTTATTCCCATTGCATTCTGGAGTAGCCCACAATTGATTGTAATTTATTTCTGTATTTCTACAAAATACACATATTTATAAGATATATCAAAGACTGAATTTCAGCTGCACGTGTTGTCAGGGATTGTTCTTTAAAGTAAGAATTCAAATGAATTTCAACTTTAATGACAAAAAAAATTGAAATGGAAAAAATCTGTTGGTCAGACATGCTTTCAGTTTGGCCTCTTTGATTTAAAATTTAAAATTCACTTTACATTCATGGGATAAATAACCTTGTGAATTTTGCCCTCATTAAATGGCAACTAGTTTGTTTATGGTAAAGTGCAACCATATAATCTTTATCAAGACAAGTGCAAATTAAGAAAAGTTAAATGAGAACTGACAACCTCAACACTAACTTTTAATATTGTGATCGTTTAATCAAGTTTTGAAAGGAAATTGATTCTTTCCTAAATGAAATATACATAAAAAATGAGAAACTCATCAGTGAACTAATCAAGTATTTAATTTTCTTTAGCATAAATTTACTAAAAACTGAAAAATCTAATTTAAACCCTCAGGTGTGTCATCAGTGTTAGTTTATGGGCTGAGTGTGCAGATGTATGTGAACAATTTCACGTATCTGGTCAAATAAATCAGTTTAGAGCCGTATTTACCAAGCAAAACAGGTGCTAAACAGCTAAATATTAAGAGACATTAAAAGTGTTGTCTTCTGAAAAGAGGTGCAAAGGGGAGGATTCATGAGCTGGATGTGCCTGCTGGTTCCACTGGTTTCCATGGTGACTGCCCTGTCTTTGTGCTTTGCAGCTTTTTTCAAAAAACTATACTTTAATAAATATCCCCTATTCGGTGTCAGTTGTTATTGCTCCATATTTAGCACATTGGCCCTGAAAGGCATCTGTTTTTCCTTGACAAATATGGCCAGTAATACCTTAGTAAAAGCACTTTGTGTTTCAGTTTCACAAATTGCATTATATATTATCCATAACACTATAAACAAAATAAATCATGATAATTACAAGTGTGATTTAAGGTGGCTATTTTTTTTGTTACTTTATGCCATGTATCTAAAAAAGAATTGGTTTACAAAATGTAAAATGTATTAATGCAAAATATGTAGCATATTATTATTCATTACAATCACCTGAAGCCACAGCTATACTGTGCTAACCTTCATAGTCTGAGGGTGTAACATTTCACCAAAATTTCACAACTGGTAATAAATATAATCAGTCTGGATAATGTGACAGAACTAATATGTATTTTTTTTATATTGGAAAATT